ATGGAAGGAAATGTTATACATTGACAAAGTGTTTATTGTAGTCTTGGAATCTACAGTAACTGGGGAGTTTGAGATTACTTATTCTCATACTTCTTTTTATACCTCATAAATGCTTCTATTCTTATTTCTTAACTTTTTTCTAATTTAAGTATACTTTCATAATTTCTATCAGATTACTCATTCCTCAATTATCTTAACCACCTTTTTTATCTGTTGCTTTTTTGGTAATGAGTGCAGTAATAGTGATTTAGTATTTTTGTATGAAAGTCAGAATACTTCTTTGTTTACAATATTCGGTAGGTTTATGGCAAATTAGTTCACATTTATCTCCACTTTCTTTTCAGGTTACAAGCATCTTACAAACTCTAAAACCATTATTTAAATGTTATACAATTCATATTTGCCCTTTCTAAAGAAGTAATTAATTTTTCGTTTTTTAAAAGTAATAGAAAGAGCATCGAAACACGAGTCTTTCTGATTTGTACGAGGTGCCGTAGCCCCCGAGAATTAATCAGATTGCTGAGTGTTTGGATGTTCTTTCTCTTTTGTGTCATTGTCAAACATAAAACCACGTTCCCTGTTGTCACAATATGAAACCCCAGAAAAACGTAACCAATGAACGAACATCTGAATATGATATTTCTATCGGTTTCCCTTTTTCTGCCTTCACTATAAGTAAACCTCAGCAAAAAATGAGCCAATCAATGGGCATGCTCTGGAGTGGGGGTAACTTATACCTGCATTCCAGTTAACGCACTGTGCATGTATATGAATACGATTAAACTCTGACGCTTTGTCAACAGAAAGGTCCCCAAACTTTGATACAATTGTTGCATAATATAACTTAAGAACTAGTAAATTGGTAAATGTTTAATAATATCAACACACTAAGAATTTTATCCTGGCATACGTTAACAATTCTGACACAGCCTCCCCAATCTCTGATACATGTATCTCGATTACTTGTTACGATGATTTATATTCCCGAGAAGTTAGAATGGTAGAAAAACAACAACAACAAGTTCAGTATGCTTTGTGATCTAAATTGTTTTTATTTATATATACATGTATTAGGAAAACGTGTAAAATAAATTGTAGATGTATTTATTTTATTGATATACCTATTTTAAGTCTTATAACCAATGGTGCAATGTTGAGAGGAAGATTTTGTAAGTTTTGAAAACTAATGCCAAAATGCCAAACACCAAAGCCGACAACATCCCTATAATAGCAGCCAAAAGGGTCTTTATGCCTTGAAATATCGGAGCCATGTCACGTGAATGGTCATTAAATAATTTATAAATGATACTTGGATATCAATGATATTTATAGCCATATTGGCTTTTTAACTGTTAATACAAATAAAACAAGAGGGCCATGATGGCCCAAAGTCGCTCACCTGTATATAGGCCCCCCGGAGCGGGGCCAGTTTAAACCCCAGGGCTTTTATTTGAACAAACTTGGTTGACACCCATTAGAAGATGTTTCATGCTAAACATCTAAGGTCTAGCTTATTGGGTTTTCTAAAAAGATTTTTTATGTCTATATATATATATATATATATATATATATATATATATAAATATATATGTATACATAATATATATATATATATATATATATATATATATGTGTGTGTGTGTATGTATGTGTATATATACATACACAATATTGGTTCCTTACATATATATATATACATACATATATATATATAAGATATATATATATAATATATATATATATAATATGTATATATATATATATATATATATAATATGTATATATATATATATATATATATATATGTATGTATATATATAATATGTATATATCTAAAAAAAAAAGTCGAGCTAATGAATGACCCCCGGGGCGGGGCCAATTTTGACCCCAGGGCTCTTATTTGAACGAACATGGTAGACATCCATTAGAACATGTTTCATGCTAAATATCTTAGCTCTAGCTCTTTGGGTTCTTTCAAAGAAAATTTTTTTAGTTTTACTATATGCATATAGGGAAAATCAATGACCCCCTGGGGCGGGGCCAATTTTGACCCCAGGGCTTTTATTTGAACAAACTTGATAGACACCCATTAGAAGATGTTTTATGCTAAATATCTTAGCTCTAGCTCTTTGGGTTCTTTAAAAGAAGATTTTTTAAGTATTTACTATATACATATAAGGAAAATCAATGACCCCCAGGGCGGGGCCGATTTTAATTCTAGGAACAAAATTTGAACAACTTTGGTCTTGGATCTATAGATGATACCATAGACCAAATATCAAAGCTCTAGGCCATTTACTTTCAGACCATAAGATTTTTCAAGTTTTCACTATATGTATATAATGAAAATCAATGACCCCCGAGGGCGGGGCCAATTTTGACCCGAGGGCCATTATTTGAACAATTTTGTAAAGGTCTACCACACAATGTTTCATGCCAAATATCTTACCTGTAGCCTTTGCCAATTCAGAGAAGAAGATTTTTTATGTTTTACTATATACATATTTAGAAACCTATGACCCCCCAGGGTGGGGCCAATTTTGACACTAGGGACAAAATTTGTACAACTTTGGTATTGGACCTTCAGATGATACCATAGACCAAATATCAAAGCTCTAGGCCATTTACTTTCAGACCAGAAGATTTTTCAAGTTTTCACTATATGTATGTAATAAAAATCAATGAACCCCCAGGGCGGGACCAATTTTGACCCTAGGGCCATTATTTCAACAATCTTGATAGAGGTCTACTACACAATGTTTCATGCCAAATATCTAATCTGTAGCCTTTGCCAAATCAGAGAAGAAGATTTTTTTATGTTTTACTATATACATATAAGGAAAAACCTATGACCCCCGGGGCGGAGCCAATTTTGACACTAGGGACAAAATTTGAACAACTTTGGTAGAGGACCCATAGATGATACCATATACCAAAAATCAAAGCTCTAGGCCATTTACTTTCAGACCAGAAGATTTTTCAAGTTTTCACTATATGTATGTAATGAAAATCAATGACCCCCAGGGCGGGGCCAATTTTGACCCTAGGGCCATTATTTGAACAATCTTGATAGAGGTCTACTACACAATGTTTCATGCCAAATATCTAATCTGTAGCCTTTGCCAAATCAGAGAAGAAGATTTTTTTAGATTTACCTATAGACATATAAGGAAAAACCTATGACCCCCCCAGGGCGGGGCCAATTTTGACACTAGGGACAAAATTTGAACAACTTTGGTAGAGGACCCATAGATGATACCATATACCAAAAATCAAAGCTCTGGCCCATGTACTTTCAGACAAGAAGATTTTTTAATTTTGTGTTTTTTGAAATCCTTTTCTGGCCCTGTGACCTACATATGCAACAGACCGGAACCATTTGAACAACTTTGAAAGGGGACCACCCAAGGATCATTTCTGCAAAGTTTGGTTGATGTGCAGTCATTGGTTTCAGAGGAGATGTTGTTTATGTGAAAAGTTGACGACGCACGACGCACGACGCAGGACGCACGACGACGGACGACGGACACAGGGCGATCACAATAGCTCACCCTGAGCATTGCTCAGGTGAGCTAAAAATCAAGAAATATTTCCGTGTTGCTAAGATGAGAATGTCCAAAAATATACTCAATGATGTGTGCGCTTTCAGACTAACCAGATTTTAAAAAGAAAAATAAATAAAACTTAGAAAATATAACAAACAAGTGATTGTAATGTACACGTAGCCTGGCGTAGGGTATGATAAGAAATGTATCTTCAAAGATTTAGAGTTTTCTTAAACTGTAAGTAAATGACCAATGCCTTGTTTTTTGGAGTTTTTGATGAATACATGAATGATTGGATGATAAAATGAGATGAGATTCTTTTGGTAAGTATCATCATACTTGGCGTTGATAAATCAAGGTCAAAATGTAGATTTGATACTTGTTATCGTGGTTTTATGTATTTTTTTGTTCAAGGCAGATGATATTCATCATGGTCCGGTTGTTTATTATGATATAAAATATTATTATTATTATTATTATTATTATTATATTATATCAAAATATTATTATGATGAATTATGAAAAAAGTGTAAATTTAAACTTTAATGTAAAAAAACAGTTTAGATAGTATGTATAGTGTAAGCCGGAAATATTTCCTTGTTGCTAAGATGAGAATGTCCAAAAATATACTTAATGATCTAGGTGCGCTTTCTGACTAACCAGATTTTAAAAAGGAAAATGAATAAAAACTTAGAAAGTATAACAAATTAGTGATTGAAATGTACACATATGATATGATAAGACATGTATCTTTAAAGATTTAGAGTTTTCTTAAACTGTAAGTAAAAGACCAATGCCTTGTTTCTTGGGGTTTTTGATGAATACATGAATGATTGGATGATAAAATGAGATGAGATTTTTTTGGTAAGTATCATCATACTTGACGTTGATAAATCAAGGTCAGAGTGTAGATTTGATACTTGTTTTCGTGGTTTTATGTATTTTTTTGTTCAAGGCAGATCACGGTCAGGTTGTTATAAAGATTTTAAAACAAAGATGTTATTTTTAACTAAGGAAGGTAAATGTAAATTTTGTAAAGTTAATCGTTTTGATAATTTAATATATCGATATTGTATTGCTTCTGAAAATAGTGCTAAAAATAACCAGTGTGTTGAAATTTCACAGAATTTTGTCAATTGAAAATTTAACAAGACTAAGAGCGAAATGATATTAGCTTGTTTTCCAAAAGCAGGAGATTGAAAATTAAGAAAATAAAGACAAACTGAAAGTAAATGCTTGTTTGATTAAATTGTCATGGACATATGTTACACACAATATGATTTGAAATTCGTATAGAAGGATTACAAAGTAAAGGCAAACGTCGAGAAAATATGATCATCTGATAATAAAATGAAAAAAAAAATACATTATAAAATTAAAAACCGAGTAAGAGAAAAGGGATTAAGCTGCTTTTTTGTAGCTTATGTCAAGAAAACGTCCTATCACGTGACAATAGCATAATGTATGTGGCCTACTATTTATAGGGTGTGTCGACCGGCCTAAAATTTAATGAGAGCTGCCGACCTTGAGGGCTTTCTTATTGCCCTCGTCGACAGACTCTGAGGAGGAGGAAACAGCCAGTGAGCTTCTTGCTCTGGTTGACATTCGGCTAATGCTGGCTCTTTGGGACGACATGCGGCTCCTATTCCTTTCGGCGTCTGCTTGTCTATATCTGATAGTGAGTCGAACTCTTTCCTGAAACCGGTGTTCGGCCTCGTCCTTTCGTTGCTTGCATTCAGTTCTAAAATATATCAAAGAACATTGTGTCAATTGAATGTTTATCAATGTCGTTAAGTAATATAGATTATATAATATATATTGTGTGATGTAAATTATATAGTATCTGGTGTGATGTTAATGATAAAGTATCTGGTGTGATGTAAATGATATAGTATCTGGTATGATGAAAGTGATATAGTACCTGGTGTGATGTAAATGATATAGTATCTGGTGTGATGTAAATGATATAGTATCTGATGTGATGTAAATGATATAGTACCTGGTGTGATGTAAATGATATAGTATCTGGTATGATGAAAGTGATACAGTACCTGGTGTGATGTAAATGATACAGTATCTGGTGTGATGTAAATGATATAGTATCTGGTGTGATGTAAATGATATAGTATCTGGTGTGATGTAAATGATATAGTATCTGGTGTGATGTAAATGATATAGTATCTGGTGTGATAGAGATGATATAATAATTGTATGCTGTTAATGATTTAGTATATGTTGTGATGTAAATTATATAGAAGCTGGTGTTATCTAAATGATATAGTAACTGGAGGGATGTTAATGATATATATCTGGTGTGATGTAAATAATCTAGAATCTGGTGTGATGTGTATATTATATATCTGTTGACGTGTAAATGATATAGTATCTGATGTGATGTAAATGATACAGTATCTGGTGTGATGTAAATGATATAGTATCTGATGTGATGTAAATGATATAGTATCTGGTGTGATGTAAATGATATAGTATCTGGTGTGATGTAAATGATATAGTTTCTGGTGTGATGTAAATGATATAGTATCTGGTGTGATGTAAATGATATAGTATCTGGTGTGATGTAAATGATATAGTATCTGGTGTGATGTAAATGATATAGTATCTGGTGTGATGTAAATGATATAGTATCTGGTGTGATGTAAATGATATAGTATCTGGTGTGATGTAAATGATATAGTATCTGGTGTGATGTAAATGATATAGTATCTGGTGTGATGTAAATGATATAGTATCTGATGTGATGTAAATGATATAATATCTGGTGTGATGTAAATGATATAGTATCTGATGTGATGTAAATGATATAATATCTAGAAAAGATGTTAATGATATTGTATCTGGTGTGATGTAAATGATATAGTATCTGGTGTGATGTAAATGATAAAGTATCTGGTGTTATGTTAATAATATAGTATCTGGTGTGATGTTAATGATATATTGACTGGTGTGATTTAATGCTATACATATCTAAAATGTGTAATGATTAAGCATGCGAAATACAGTTATTCTTGTCTGAACATCAGTTATACGAAAACACACATTCCTTTAAAGAACGTACATGTATATGTAATCAAACGGTTGTGACACAAATTAAGTGAGCTTACTTTTTTCTCTGGTGCTCTCTTGCCAGTACCTTCTTTTTGGAAAGCTCCTCATTTCTTTTGGCTTCGGCCTTTTCTTGTCGAGCCTCACATGCTAGGCGTATCTATTAAAATGTAACAAATATTAAAGGCAAACTCAAACTTTCTTTTTAAAACTTGCAATTTTGTCTAATTTGTATACATCTATAGTAATAATATAAAAACAAAATATAAAAGTCCAAATTTTCGAATCTTAGACTATTGGCTACTCCTTGCGTTCCATATGGTGCCGTTTTGTGTATTGTGAATGTATAGATATTTTTAGGCAATACACAACTTCATTCATCATTCGTCAAAACTCGGAATATTTCAGGGTTTTTTCCGTTACTTATATCATGTTAATGGGATTTAGTTCATTTGTAGCAATGTTTGCCGGATATATACATTGGATTAAATATAACTCTTTACGTTGCAGATTTAATATATAATCTTTTAGTTGATGTCGAAGGGCAAATTTCAAATGGCTTTTACACTTACTATTCTAATTACGTATGATATATGAATCTCAGTCTGGACAAAACAACATTTTATTATGGAAATTTTAGCATTTTTATATGCTGACTAAATAGCGAATAGTGCAGTTACATAAATGTATCTTATTAATACATATATATAATTTTCAAATATACAACAGAAATATTTCCAGGCGGAAGAGTAGAAAGTATGTTGTATTCAAAAATATTTTTTTTCAAATATACATCAGAAATATTTCCAGGCGGAAGAATAGAAAGTATGTTGTTTTCAAAATATAACATTTATACTTACAGGCCCGACAGCTTTCTTAATTGGCGGCAATATCGGCTTCATGACTAATGGTTTGCAATCTACTTCAATGGTAAAAGACTCCCCGCCACGTGCTTTTCTATGCTCATATTGAACTAAAATAGAAATAGTATTGTCAATGAATTATCTTGTTAAAGTACGCAGTTTCTTCTCTTTAAATAAAGTATGACGAAAATATACTTACAAGCAGGAAACATAATTCATATATTTTCTAACTGTCACAAAATGCGAGCGAGGGCTAAGTGTAATTCTTACCTAACGTTGGTGTGGGGGTGCGGCTAGCTATAGCCTTCCTTTTCTTTTCGCGTCGTTTCTCTTTCCTTTTGGCAATCCACGTAGAAATAAAACCAAAGCAACCTGGGAGCTTCATCTTCTTTTTCTTCTGCTTCTTCTCATTTCCCTGGTCAGATTCGTTAGAAGTGGTCGCAATGTTTTCCTTTTCTGCTTTTGCAACTTTATCTTTTTTATCAATGTCGTCTTTTTCCTACAATTGAAGGGGAATCCCGAGGGATAGTATTACAAATGTGGTGCACCTTACATAAATTTCATTTAAAGGTTTTCAAACATGTACAATTCAAATTCAACGAAACAAATAATGTTCTTCGATGTTATCAATCCTTCATATGAAAAGAATGAAATCAAACCGGAATATCTAAGTACCTATTATAATTGACAAACAAAGCTATTCGGCAATAATCTAAAGCAAGAACTTGAACTCTCAGGTACACTAATAAAGAACAAATAAGGTACAATTAATGTCATTTTGTTCTGTATCTTTACATACAGATTGTTAATTTGATATAGGTTTGTGCATAGCACCTGTAAGCTTGGACTTACAATCTTAGCTCAAAAAAGATATAACTCAATTAAACCCCTTTATAGGCCATTTTATTGGGAAAGCCAGAATAATTGAATATTTTCCGTGAAGTACAAAAGCATGCATGTTTCATGTGTATATCCCTCACATTAATGTCAAACCCCTCACGAGGACGTAGACATATAACAAATAGGAAATACATAATAAAGTATAAGTCAAGATATTTGCATACAAAATGTTATCCCTGTCATTAATTTATCATCATTGTAATTAGTAATAAGTACTTTAGTATTATGCTAAGCACAACGGTGAAACTCGAAGTTTACCTTATTGCCCGCCTCGTTTTTAATTTTCGTGTCTGTACCATATACCCCTTTATTGGCTGATACATCCATTGACTCTCTATGTTTTTCCTCTTTTTCTTCCAAGCTCGTACTTATATCAACTGCCATCTGTTCTAATTCTAGCTTTGATGTATTTCTTAGCTTGACTTCCTGCTCTTCTAATCCTTCGTCGCTCGAATCGGAAAAATCGTCGCGATATTCCGCCTCTGTAGGCCTCGGTAAACTTTGATCTCGTGCATGCGTGAATTGAACCCCTTTAAATGTTCTGTCAGGTACAGAACGACTTCGGGTCTGTCCTGGCCCCTTGTGAGTAAAAACTTGACTTCTTTTATTTGTCAGCATAATCTGTTGTTCCACAAGTTTCTTTGTATCTGCCCTCAGTGGGGGTAAAGATCCCGTACCATCTGAGGGCTCAACTGTTATGATTCTCACCTTATGTGAGGACATTTCAGCTAATGGCAAATTGCAGCGCCCGTCATGGATATCTTTCGGCCCTCATTCTGGTATTGCTAGGAGACGTTGTCAAATGACGTCGTTAAGTGATGTCATCTTACTGTTGGAAAACATTTGAGACCTCGTGATGTAATGACGTCATAACTTTAGGTGAATGCGCATAATTGTTACGCGGCAAAATCAGTGAAAAGTACTTAAATCACTAAAAAAAAGCATGAAATAAAAAGAAAATTTATTTGTTTACATATAAGATTGGAATATATTTCATTTGTGAACACCAGCTTTTTTATGCATCAGGGCTGCGTTTCATGGAGAGTCCTAAGTTAATCCTAAATCCTAGGACTTATGACCAACTTTAAAAGGAGAAAAAGTTTTTGCACTTAAGACCGTTTCAAGTAACTGTCCTATCTCTTGTCTTAAACTTAAGACTTATGACCAATTCGCTCTCCTGAAAAAAGTTACAAAATACAATGGCACGCGCATAATCCCGGATTGGATTTACTATGTAATTGATAATATCAAGTATAAAAAGTAATGTATTGCCCTCTTATCCTGTTGAGTGAAAATATATACCACATTTCAAGAAAAACGATAAAATAACCGTTTTATTTAATTTCATAGTAAAAAAATGGTTACGATGTACAGCGCGCAGTAATATTATAATTTATAGATGCGTCACTGAGTGAATTATCACTTGCATACAAAACAAACAAATATCCTCCATATAATCAGTTTTATTTAAACGGCAAATTGAAATGAGAACCGTATTTTAAAACCACTAAGATCGGCATTGATTGTTGCCGTTTGTAGATTCAAATTTACTACTTAAAATCGCATTTCATATTTTGTTCATCCGTTCGTTCTTCTGACTGTCAGTTGTTTCTTTAACAAATTCATATTGTCGCATATAGTTATTATAAAAAATAAAGATAAAAAAATATTACCATGACAAGCAAAACTTTCAAAGGATTCTATGGGTTTATTTAGCATACGCCTTTAACAGTTCGAAATACGGTATTTAGTGTGGTGCTTCAAAAAAAAAAGAAAAAAAAAGGGGAGGTAACAACATTTCGAATTTTATGTCTAGATATAACTTTGTTACCGCCCTTGCATGAAGTTTGGTATAATGCATACATGTACGCATTTTAGAGTATCTATTTCCAAATGCACATCAGCTGTCCATTCAATAGACTTTTAACATTAAAATTACCTAACCCAAACAAGTGGTTGTTATGGAACGTCTAAAATCTAGTTATTTATTTTCTATATTACATTTTTTGCGTATTATTTGACATTTTGTTTTGGACATAAATTGAAGCACATCATTAATAGGGGTTTTCATATGAGCCACGCCATGACAAAACCAACATAATGCGTTTGCGACCAGCATGGATCCAGACCAGCGTGCGCATCCGCGCAGTCTGAATGAATGAATGAATGAATGAATGAACGAACGAACGAACGAATGAACGAATTAATGAATGAACGAACTGTACATGTATTACACAGAAGATTACGTTTCACATTAGAATTGTTCGTGAATCATTTTAAGAACAAAACGTAATAAGTACAAGCAAACTTTAGTATACACGGTCTAACATACCATTTGAAGCCAAACAGTCTCACTATCTGACCTGCTACAGCCGGACCTGTAATTAAAAAACAAAAATGTTTAACTATCATTTTGTTTGATTCAACCACATGTAAACAATGAATAATATTTTTTCAATAAATTCCTTTATTCTTTTTACATGTTTTTTTGGAAATAAAGGGCGAAAATAATGTTGTTTGTTTACTTGGAAATTTATTTCAAGCTCTTATATTATTCGAGTATGATCACAACTATAACTAAACTAACCTAATGTATATGCAAGACATAGAGCTAATTGAACAATGGCATAAACACTTCCGTATGTTGACACGTGACGCTGATCTATCAGTAACGCTAGAAGGGGCATGATTGTTACACCTACAACGTAATACATATTTAGTAAGTTTGAATTTCTACATGCTAGTTTGCTTCATTTTGAATATTAACACTATCTTTACTTTATAACTCGAAATGTATTTTGTGGTAACATATTACTAAGAACTTTAACAATTTGTGGTTTTGAAACATTGTTAATTGAACGTACTGCAGTTCAGCAAATGATATGAATAAATACTCTTTCTACGAATTATTTTGCCACTCAAATTATATAATTATACATTGTACATTTGTTTAAAGAGCCTCTACTAACATTGTATTTATTACTAACCACATTTATTCATGTTAACATGAAATGTGTGTAATAAAGGAAATTTGACTTGACTTGACTTGTATTTTTTCAACAAACAAGAATATTTAGAAAATCATTATTGTTTCAGACTTATTCACAAATTTAATGAACAATTGTGGCTTTTTGCAGAAATTTGTCAAGTAAGCAACTTTGGTCATGTGACCACAAAAGTCAACGTACACGTACACGTTGACATTTCTGTAAGTTGGTCAATTTTTAAATAAATACAAAAAATGACAACAGGAAACCAATTCTTTTTTCATTAAAACATTCTCTTATATATTTTAAGACCTGAAATTTTACTTAGAACCACGGATTTATATATAAATCCGTGTTAGAACTGACATGCATATTGTTCATTACGTTATCATCAACACTTTTACACAATAGTGTGTACGTTGTCATCGACAATTTGCAAATATTGTTCTCATAAAATACAAAACGTTAGACGAAACTAAATCGGAACTGCCGCGGTCGGTAGGCTATGTACAGTAGCATAATTTAAGTCGGCTGGACAGAAAAATAATCACTAAAAAACTTACCGACAGCCGTCTGCCGAGCTATTTTGGCAGTGTAGATCTACGTTGACTTTTGTGGTCACATGCAAGGCCGTCGTCGATGGTCCGGCCGGTCCGGCCTTGGCCGGACCAATATTCTGGCCAAAAATGAAAAAAAAAACAAAAAAAAACGCATCGCTGATTAGCGATTTGACACTTAACTAGCCCCTTATGTAAATTGCGCGGTAATATACAAACATGACGCGAAAGAACAACTGTACACTGTTTATTGACCAGGTACATGTCGGTGTCCCCCAAAGTCAAGTGTGAAATTATCTTAATTGGCATTAATTGACATCGACGTGGCTTCCGACAGTTCACCGTATAGGTCTAAACATATTTATTTAAGCTCGATTGCGAAACAAGTTCTTGCAACTTATATTAATCACTTTCGAGTCCGCTTCCTGGAACCAACCAGTACTGGTGTCATATGGAGAAACATGGTCGTGACCCGAGTAGGGCTCGAACATGAAGATCTTCTGGGTTTGAGAGGGCAGACCACCTTAAACCACTATGTTCACCGTATATATATGTTTTATTCAAAATAGTACACATCCATCAATTCTTTAAATTTTTACCTCTGTTCACATATCAAGTATCTAATATGTATAGTTTTAAGATAGTAAAAATATCATGATGTTTGACACAATTCCATCGGCAACCAAATCAAACCAAAATCATTTTCGTTTCCGAAACGAACATTTGGTGAGTACATTTTTTCATCAATGTTATGTATATTATGATATAGCAAGAAAAAGAAAAAAGTGCATGCAAGATTTGCAATATGATTATGAGTATCTTAAACTAGTATGCCTGAATTCTCCGAGAGCTTGATATCATTGTTTTCGCAACTCTGTGAAATAATTCAGTAATAAACTCATTTCAATTTACTCTTTAACATAACGAAATTAAACTCAGTTTAAAAAAGGGAACGCTTCCATATGAGGATAAATTAAAATTGAATAAAGACATATATCATTTCAGACTCATATATTTGAAACTATCATTTCACAATCATATTTCTACTTTCTAAATATTTTACTAACGGAAAAAGGAACATTTTATTAAGATAAATCATATCAATTTATTGGTATATTTTGTCATACTGCTTACTATTTAAGAACATATTCTAAATTTTCATAACATTAAAATATGTGGTTTCTTTTAATGTAGGAAAAAAGCTCCCGTTCAGTAGATCTTCCAAAGCAGTTGGTCAACACCCGAAAATGGCTGCATTACGACGAGTCCGGACCCTTGCGTTCTGTATACGTTCATATAAGCTAATACGAGATGGTAAGCTACATATCTTCCAAACGGACAAAGCGTTCCTCGAGTCAGGATTTTCTAACTGGTAAAGACGGACCGCGGGCATTCAATGACCATGAATCTTCTGGATGTCACAGAAAGCGATGGAGCTTCGCGGTTACACCTTATGCCGAAGGTTACCAACGTGGAACGTTGGTGAAATGTTGTCCGAGTACCCAATGCTAGTGGTAAAATTAAAGCAACCAAAGTTGCTCTAATTAACCCACGGTGTTTATTGTTTCACGTAAAATCTATGAGATTAAAAATCTTTTTGCACAACAAACTTTATTGGTTCAGCGTGTAATCGACTTAAATATGGCAATTCTGACCAACTTCAACACTGGTCACACTGAAATGTATCGTTCATTTACAATGAACATTGTCAGTCATGTCCGGTGATACTGCGCGGTCCGGATTCTTGCGCACATCGGCACTTCGGAAGTATTTCATTCCTTTTGTTTAGGTTTTGTTTTTTTATGCTTTTTGCCTAGAAACTTGGCAGCCAAAAATTGACTCTGGACTTAAACAAGGTAAGCAAAAGTTAAAAAATAGTCTAACAAGTTTTTTACAATATTTCGTCATCCTAATCATATTTATTTCATAAACACCCCACCTGACCATACTTTTCCATATATCCTGTCCCTATTCGTTCCATTTCCAAAATTTATCGTTAAGCAAGAAATAAAATTTCAATATCAACACATTTGAAAAGTATATTGCACCGATAAATACGTGAACATTTTCCTTTTTCCCTTTGCAAATAATAGGTAAATCAGTTTGTTATCCCGTGCCGACTACCCGCCATCCCCTTGTCAAACTGGAAAGCCTCTTGCCCGCGCTTTTCAATTTCATTTTCTCCGGAAGCCGTAAAAGGCATCTTTTTACAAACATTTGACAAAGAAAACAGAACAAACGATTGTCAATCATATAAATAAATTAAGAAATATTATTAAAGAAACACATGGATAGTGATGAAACTTTCAGGTGCCGGTTGTATGTTAGTGAACAGTGAAAAACAAACCCTTGATGTAAATAAGTTTGTGTTACAGTTTTGTTTGACACAGTTTAAATTAACTTTTTCAATAACTGGACTCACAAACTTTATATTGATAGTACTACTCGGAACACCAATTACTGTTAAAAACAACTACTTGTGACGTCATTCATACACATGCGCAAGATCACCGGACGAATTGAATATTTGAGATTTAACATGTGTTAAGTTTTAACATTGTTGCACTCTTGCAGTTCTAACTGAGTTATTTCCAAAAATATTGTGTTATTATTTGTCTTTAAGATTTTTGCAAATAGGAAAATAATCATGATTTTTTTGTGTAATTTATTTGAAATCGTAAAAAGTTAGCCGAATAAGTGCTTAGGTGCGCATGATACCGATCACATCAGTAAATATTACGCCGGAAGTTAAGTGAGTTGATTATAGCTGTAATAAGAATTTACTATAAATGATACCGGTCATGACATAAACAAACATAGTGATTTGCGGCAGCCACCGCATGGGTCCAGCCAGCCTCGCATGCCCGCTTACGATTATACGTACCTTAGCACAGTTAAACATTGGGTAAATGATGTTCAAAACAGAATTTTGTCGAGTTTGGCGAACGTCATTTATAAGTTGTAGGGCTCGCTGCTAACGTGAGAAACTGGGGTACAGGGCACTGTATACCGGCGGGCGCGCCTTGTACCGGCCGGAAGTAAAGCGGCGAAAGGGTTGTTCGAATTATTTTGTGAGAATGCGTATTTATCAGCTAGGTTTTTGCGATTATTGTTGTCTTTGTTTTCTCTGTTTACAAGTGCCCTGTGCCTTTTTTACACAAAATTAGGGGGTTCTTGTTTCATAATTAGTGAAGATTAATGTGCGCTATAATTTTTCAATGTTTGTAGACTGTTTTAGGTCTACATTTTATCTTTAACACTTCCGTCATGTTTCTGACTTCATAAATTTAAGATGGGTGACTAAAGTTTTCTGTTTCGGATGGGGTGTGGGGCGGCGGCGGTGTCTATATAGATGGTCTAAGATGTACCACATGAATTGTTCGATAGTTTAAGGTACATTTTTAAGTCAATGGTTAAAATTTATTTCCGTTGTGCGATTTTCATAAGTTGGATCAAAGTTTCTATAGTGATTATATTATGAAATTAAAACAGCCATGGTAACCATTATTGATCAATTTAACTGTTTAAAACGCCCAAACAGATATTACGTTACCGATAAGCTGAATAAATGGATAATTCAATAAAAATATATAAAAGAAAAATCAAAGTTAAATAGTAAAATATTGCATCATTATTGCTAAATTTGATAAAAACAAAACAGCCTGTTTAGTGGTGAGTTATTGTTTAACTGAGGTAAAACTGTTTTTTTTTATTATGCAGCTTATGTGATTGCAAATTAACATTTATCATTATTAAATACAGCAGTAGTAGCCCTACTTACTGCAATACAATAAATATTCCTTAGTGTTCAAATAGTCGTTTTTGATTAACATAGCAGATGTTCTATGAGAAATTTGCACAGTTATTAATGACTTTTATAAATCCTCTAAACATAATTTAAAGTTCCCGTTCAATTTGTAATTAAGTCAAAACAAATAAATAAGATCGACTAACAATGTATTTAGCTGAATGTTCAATTTAATTCTTTTTCATTTCAGTTAAATGATAGATGACTGAATGAAATTCAAGGGTCATGATGAAGGAAATCGCATAGTTTTATTTTAATTAAGATAACAATGTCAGAGATAGTTTTTGCAAGAAAGATGTGCTTTCCCCTTCGGTACAACAGATTCATTGTTATTATTTGAGATTCTAGTAAGTATAATTATTGAAAGCAACTGCCCCAAATAAAATTCTTCATATTTTAACCCTTTACTCTTCTCGTTAACAAAAGTGATAAGCCGCTTTCAGCAGTATATAAAGAGCCACCAGGCCAGCGCAACGATTTGCGCCTAAGATTGTCATTAAAAATGTTTTAGCAATCATTTTAGCTCGACTTTTTTTTTGAAAAAAAAAGTAGAGGTAAGTTGTTATATGTCAGTCGCGTTGCCTCGTTGCCGTTGCTGTCCGAAAACTTGTTACCTGTATCATAATTTTTTATTTCTTGGTGTATTGTCTTCATACTTGGCCACAACAACCCTTGGACAAGACCTTTCATGTAGACCACACTAACTTGACTTTCATCCATAAATGACCTTGACCTTCAAGGTTTAAAAGTCTCTAATTTTTGCTTGTTCATGCTGTTATTGGCCCTGTTTTTTTTTGTTCTTTGTTATTTTTTTTGTGATTGTCTTCAAACTTTGAAACATAATAATCTTCAAGGATATCCTTAAAAATAACCAGTCAGACCTTGACCTTCCATCATTCAAATGGACCTTAGACTTTGAAGGTAAAATTATTTAAATTTTCATTGTTTTTGGCATAGTAACTGACTGTAAATTTGCTTTTATAAAGTGGTTTATATAGTATATAGTATTTTTTTTTTTTTTTTGAAATATAATATGCTATATTATATAGATTATCGATATATATATATAATTATATATATATATACATATATAATATATATATAGTATATATATATATATATATATCATGCATTATATAATATTATGCATGTTATATATCTATATACACACACATATATTATAGGTATTAAGATTGCGTATTTTTTCTATTTTTAGAAATTTGCGTATTTTTTCTATTTTTAGAAATTGCGTCTATTTTTTTCTATTTTTAGAAATTGCGTCATTTTTTCTATTTTAGAAATTGCGTCATTTTTTCTTATTTTAGAAATTGCGTCATTTTTCTGTTTTAGAAATAACGTCATTTTTTTCTATTTTTAGAAATTGCGTCATTTTTTTTCTATTTTTAGAAATTGCCGTTCATTGTTGCTATTTTTTAGAAATTGTGTCATTTTTTCTATTTTTAGAATTTGCGTCATTTTTTTTCTATTTTTAAATTATAGAAATTGCGTCATTTTTTTTACTTTTTTTTTAGAAAATTGCGTCGATTTTTTTTTCTATTTTAGAAATTGCGTCATTTTTTTCTATTTTTAGAAATTGCGTCATTTTTTCGTGGTTTTAGAAATTGCGTCATTTTTTTTATTTTTTGAGAAATTGCGTCATTTTTTTTCTATCTTTAGAAATTGCTCATTGTTGCTATTTTTAGAAAATTGCGTCATTTTTTCTATTTTTAGAAATTGCGTCATTTTTTCTATTTTTAGAAATTGCGTCATTTTCTTATTTTTAGAAATTGTGTCATTTTTTTTCTATTTTTAGAAAATTGCGTCATTGTTGCTATTTTTAGAAATTGCGTCATTTTTTTTATTTTTAGAAATTGCGCGTCATGTTGCTATTTAAGAAATTGCGTACTGGTTGCTATTTTTAGAATATCTTAATGTTTCTATTCATATATATACAAATTATATAAACAAAACTAATGTGACAAGACAGACCAACTAAATTTATAAAAAGGAAACGTCAATATATGTTCAAACCTTTCTATGTTTGCGTTTAGAAAAAGTAAAAAGTCGAGCGTTGCCCCCGCCCGGCGGTGGCTCTTGTTTAATGTGAGGTGGTCATTTTGGCTTTATCACATACAATAAGAGTGTTTTCTAAGTTCTGAGTTGGACCAAAATACATTTGCATGATGATAGGAAACAGTCATTTTGGCCTACAGCTGCTTCCTTATGACAACCTGGAGTCTGGTATATTTTAATATTGAAATCTGGACACTTCCAACTTCAAAGCAGATCAAATCCACTATAGATAAGCAAGTTATTGAAGGGTTAATTAATTTAATATACATGTAGTTTGAAATCTCAAATCAATGTCATTTATATTGGTATATGCCTTTTTCAGAAGTTCTGTCAATGAGAATTTAGAACTAGCTGTTTAAATTGGGATTTTTATGGACTTCAATTTTTGGAAAACTATCAAAAGAAGTAAGGGGAAAAAACACTGTTTACTTCTGATTGTTGATTAAATGTCCTGAAAGAAATAGTTTATCTTTGACATAGTGGCAGCATGGTCTGCAGCATGGTCGGACTAGTGATCTAAGGATTGCTGACCGCGTGGGTTCAAACCCCATTAGGGGTAAGTCATTGTTTTCTTGAGCAAGAAACTTTGCTTAGTACTAGTTGGTTCCAGGAATGGATTCGAGTCTGTTTCAATTAGATTATAGCTTCCAAAATAATCAAACTAAAATAAATTCTTGTAAACTAAATAGTTCATCTTGTATCCTTGTTAACAGTTCAGAGGGGCGTTTATAAAGACTTGGTTTTATTGCTCCAGAGGAATAAGTACCTGACGGACAAAGATCTTAGAGCTAAGGTATGGATTATAGTGTTGTTTTTTTTATCTTCCTACAATGAAAGTACATAAATAGTGTTTATTCTAGGAGGGGGGATGGAGGAATTCACCCCTATTTTTGAGAATTCCCCCCTATTTTATCAGAGGCAGGGGGAAAATTTTACATAGAGAAATAAGGAAAAAAAATCAACAAATGTAATAAATTCTCACTTTTCAATTAAAATCCCCCCTGTTTTTCAAATCCTAGAATAGATACTGCATAGAAAAATACATGCCTAAGAACTTCCATTCTTTATGAGATGTTAAACTGCAAAATCAATATTTTTCGTGGGGCACTAATTTTAAGGAATAGGTCAATCCAGGAATTTAGGATCCAACAAAACTTCATTTCATCTACTGTAAGATTATTTTGCATCACAATATTTACATTTTACCTTCTGGAAAAATAAACAGTCCACAAATTTAAGTACCTACGAAAATGTTGTTCGTGATAACTGATAAAACCACGAAATTTCATGTCCACAAAACTTAGTGAATTCTCAGTATGTCTTTCAAGCTGCAGTTTCAGGGGCTGAGTGGATAAGGTTGCCAATTCCCACACAACTTTGGGTTTGTATCTTGAAGGAAAATTGGAGATTATAAAAATCAAAAAGAAAGATCAAATATTGTATACATGTATATGATTTTTAGTGGTTTTAAGAAAAACTTTATAAATAATTATTCATAACACACAAATTTGTTTCATTTAATTTCAGTTTGGCAAAGTGAAAGATTCTTGAATTATTCCCTCAAGTATTTGATATTTGACAAGAAAAAATGTTTACTTCTAGTTGTGTGGTGGTCTTTTAAACAAGTAACATGTGTATAATGGGATGGATATGAAAAACTTTTGATGACCTTATGCTGTGTCATTTATATTATGTTGTCTGCATTCAGTTTAGACTGTATGATAAAACCAAGATTTGATGGGTTTTTTTACAGGGTGAGTTTACATTTTCTGGTGATAAGTTGATTGAAGGTGGACAGTATGGTGAGATGACAAACGGTGTCAAGTACCGGGAAGTTCGACAGTACCAGACAGATTATCATTTGATCCGGTTCTATTTTGTAACACGTTGCTACAACTCGTATATAGAGTCCATACTGAGCGACTTGTCAAAGGAGCCTTTACCGGATGTGGTGATCGCAAATTCCTGTTTGTGGGATATCAGTAGGTTTGTATATGTTTAAGTTTTGTATTTTTAGCTCGACTATTATGCATCATCCTCATGGATCACAGTATTTATGTACTATACAATATTAATAAAGTGAAACAAGCAATCAACATTGGTTAAGTTTTAAGGTTTTTTAATTGATATGACACCTGTTACTTGTTTGTTCTTAAAGTGTTATAAATAAGCCAGTATATTATTCAGGCCTTTTCCTAGCCATTTTAGGAAAAAGTACCTTGCCCAGTTTGGGAAATTTTGCATCATAAAATTGTTAAAGTGGGAAAAATATTTGGTACGGTACTACCTTTTGAAACCTTCATGCTTCTCTTTCGACATAGTATTTTTAATTTTGCAAAACTATTTATTCCATTAGATCTACCGATGTAAATAGCATTCAAAGCATGAAATATACATTACAATTTGACAATGAAATGTTTGGAAACATCTCGCTGATACCATACTGAAATGACTCCAGCAAATTTGTCAGTTCTGTTAACAAGAATTTCAGTTCAATTGGGATTTTTTTTTAAAGATTGGGAAAAAATAAGCATATTTGCCAATGGGAATGGGTCTGGTAATCTGACCCTTGGTGACACTGGGAAAAGGCATGTTTTCTGTATGTATGGAGGTTGCCTTAAAATACAACAATAATATTCAGGTATGGTCCATCATCGGTGGAGCAGTACAAGAAAAATCTCGACACATTGTTTAAGAGATTTAGTGAGCAGCTGCCTAAAACATGCCTTGTTATGTGGAACATGACACTCCCAATATCAAAGAAAGCAAGGGGCGGAGTTCTGATTCCTGAGGTTGAGCACCTTAACGTCAGCTTGAGACTGGATATTCTAGAGGCAAACTTCTATGTTCATAAGGTAGGCATGATTATTTTCTCATCTTTTAAGAAATAAACGTGAAAGCCTTTGTTGAGAAACATGAATAAAAAACAGATTAATGCTTTTGGTAGTAATTTTCATGGTTTCATTTTGTTAGAACTATGTCTTAGACTTTAGGGCGTATTGTTTTTAGTCTCTCTGTTGTCACTAAAGTTTAAACTTGACAATAAAACAAAAATTCTTCCACCCACTGCATCAGATCTTAATAGCTTTTTTTAAAATTTTTTTATCATTTCAATTTTTTTGTTTCTACAGATTAATGTTTTAAACAAAAACCCCCTTTTTTTTTTTTTTTTTTTTTTTTTTTTTTTTTTTTTTTTTTTTTTTTTTTTTTTTTTTTTTTTTTTTTTTTTTTTTTTTTTTTTTTTTTTTTTTTTTTTTTTTTTTTTTTTTTTTTTTTTTTTTTTTTTTTTTTTTTTTTTTTTTTTTTTTTTTGACTTTACTTTTATCATTGACAGTTATTTGCTCATGAATGGCAAATTGTAATATAAATAAACGTTTCTGCAGACAAACTTTGTTTCTACTGATGCCAGAAATATATTGATGGCAGTTTTTGTCAATGATTGAAGTAAGGTACAGTAAAACCTCTACTTTTGAAACGATTGAAACACTTGTTAAGACGTAAATGCTCTACTGATGGCCACTCTGCAGAGGTTGCCCTGTAGATAAATTAATTTAGTTACTATGGTAATCATGGAATTATACGTCATTTTTAAAAAAAAAATTTCTAATTATTTTTTTTTTTTTGCTTTTTTTATGCATAATATTAGAAATATTGCTAGGTATAAATGAAATTCTTATAAACAGTCAATGAAACTGTGCTCTTTAAAAATATTTATTTAAAGGGACTGCACTGAGGAGGTTTTTTTTGATATGACAGAACTGTCATAGTTTGTCAACATTAAAGTTATGATGAAGGTGTAAACCAATAACATGTGTGCGAATTCAGATCATTTTACTCTCTCTGTTATTCCAGAATAATAATTTTAATTTTGAAAAATGACCTCAAATTGAAAATCATTGCAACGCTTTGCACAAGAATAGGTGAAAATAAGACTCAGTTTATTTCTTAGTATATTTCATAATTATCTGCATTTTTTTTCTGTTTTAACTACCCTTGCTGATCTATGTAAGAAATTCAACTTTATATTTTGGGCCTAAGTGGAGTTCCTTTAAAACAAAAATATCTCTTTGCAGCTTGCAGTAGAATATGGGTTTGATACATTAGATCTTCATTACTATCTGAGGCATCAGTTACAAAGGAGGGCAGGTAAGTTTAGATCTTCATTACTATCTGAGGCATCAATTACAAAGGAGGGCAGGTAAGTTTAGATCTTCATTACTATCTGAGGCATCAATTACAATGGAGGGCAGGTAAGTTTAGATCTTCATTACTATCTGAGGCATCAATTACAAAGGAGAGCAGGTAAGTTTAGATCTTCATTACTATCTGAGGCATCAGTTACAACGGAGGGCAGGTAAGTTTAGATCTTCATTACTATCTGAGGCATCAATTGCAAAGGAAAGCAGGTAAGTTTAGATCTTCATTACTATCTGAGGCATCAATTACAATGGAGGGCAGGTAAGTTTAGATCTTCATTACTATCTGAGGCATGAGTTACAACGGAGGGCAGGTAAGTTTAGATCTTCATTACTATCTGAGGCATCAGTTACAACGGAGGGCAGGTAAGTTTGTTTTTCTTGGTATGCAGTCATATTGACAATGTGAGGCAAACTGAGTCTGCAATTTTCCTGTTATTTTGTTGTGATTAATGCTTCCGAGGGATCACTATGTTTCCAGATTTTTTCCAGCTTTTGTGTTGGTTTATATCAAATTTGATTTAGTTTGGCTGTTTTGGAAGCTATAAACTTATTGATAACATTCTTGAATCCTTTTCTGGAACCAGTTAGTAGTAATGAGTCTAAAATGTCTTGCTCATAGAAACAATAGCCTGCCCCTGACGAGGGTTAAACCCATGCAGCCAGCATTTCTTAGATTACTAGTCTGACATGTTAACCATTCTACCACACTGTCAGTGTTAATGTCAGATGCCCTTGCTTTTAGAATTAATCGAACATAGTAAAGTCAAGGACTTATGAGGAATAAATAAATTAGTTAGGAGTGTGGCCAAACAAGATTCGAGTTTTCCATAAAAAGTTTCATGGTCTTAATTGCATTTTTTGTACAAATTCATTTTGTTTATATATGATATTGACAGTTTTGTGTGACTTTGTGTAGGTGAGAGAATTACTTCACTCTCATTTCTGTAGCTTTAAAGCATGAAATATGGGGCAATTAGTTACCTTGCTAGATTATCAAAAGATGTCTTGCTTATGTAGGGGAGCATCCAAGATCTTCCCTTATCCTGAAAGCTGGAAACATGCTACATGATTTCAATTGTTAGGTGTGATATTAAAGTCTCCACACACACAAAAACGTAAAATACTCTCTAAACTATGTGTAATATTCATACATGTAATAATAACAATTTTCAAGAAAATGAGCAAAGGGGTATAATTTTCAATACCATTGTCCATATGTAATCCTGAAAGCTGGAAACATGCTACATGATTTCAATTGTTAGGTGTGATATTAAAGTCTCCACACACACAAAAATGTAAAATACTCTCTAAACTATGTGTAATATTCATACATGTAATAATAACAATTTTCAAGAAAATGAGCAAAGGGGTATAATTTTCAATACCATTGTCCATATGTAATCCTGAAAGCTGGAAACATGCTACATGATTTCAATTGTTAGGTGTGATATTAAAGTCTCCACACACACAAAAATGTAAAATACTCTCTAAACTATGTGTAATATTCATACATGTAATAATAACAATTTTCAAGAAAATGAGCAAAGAGGTATAATTTTCAATACCATTGTCCATATGTTAAAATGGTATGTTTTTATTTTCTTATAATTTCCATTCTGTTGTGGACGACTTGAAGCACAGATGATACTGGTAACTGTAATTTATATGTTTGTTGTTTAAAGGTGATGGTGTACATTGGGATATGACGGCTCACAGGAGAATGACAAATCTTATTCTTACACACATGGCCGAGGCATGGGGAGTCAAAACACCCGGGCATGCCAAGAGAGTGCTCCTTCAGGTTAGTGAAATATGATGTCATGGTACAGCCTTATCATTTTACTCATTTAAACGAAAAATTCAATCACTTTCAGCTGTGTAAGAGTAAAAATTCATGCATTTTTATAGTTTCTGAGCTTCATTCTGGCGGCACACTTGCCAGATTAACTGATCTTACCTGTGATCATTTGGCTACTACAGTCTATCAGGTGTCTTTCGAGACATGGAAATATACCACACTTTCAGACACCCATTCACACCAGTGTGAACTTAAGCAGTGCAGAGTATATTTTTTGCAAAATATTCACATACCTTTTCTCAACAGAATGCTTAGATTAAGAATTCACTAATATATTTACTAAGATTGATTTATGAATTTTGCATGCCAAAATGGTGCTACTAGACTGACTGTTCATTTAATTTTTTATAACAGAGGCAGCCATTGAAAAAGACAGACAACCGTCCAAATAGCTTCAGTCCGAATTTTAATTTTGGACTCGGTAATCAACGTCAGATTACAGATAACATGCCCGCTGTACCTGGTCAGTTCATGGGGAACTACATTAACAACATGGTCGTCAACAACGGACTCGGTAATATGCAGAACAATAGAATGTCCTGTTACCAGACTGACCAAATACCACAATTGATGAACTCAAATTTACTGTCTCAACAGTTTGAACATATGCGTCAACAGAATGCAAATGTCTTCCAGACCAATGACAATTTCAGTCAACAAAGACAAAGTTTGGGCGAGTTTGGGAATCAGATCAGGAACTCAAACTTTAGAGGTATAGATATGACCGGGATGAGGATTCCAGATAGTATGGAGATGTTCAGTCAACCATATGGGAATGAGAATTACGAGCCGGGACTCAGAGGTCATGGTTTTGGGAACCAGCAAGTGAGGGAGAGGAACCTGCCATATAGATCATCAAAAAGAGGTCAAGAAACTGTCAACCCATACTCACATGCTTATTAGTGTGTTCTATTTTTGGAAAAAGTATTTGAATAGTATAATGTATGGAGTATATTTTAGTGCTGTAAGCCAAAATCCAATGAGATATGAAAGTGTGTATTTTTTATTCTAGTCAATCTAATAGCCAAACAATAAGTTTAATCGAATTTGTCCGTGATATGACAATATAAGCAATGGCCATAACATTTTCCTTCTATAAGCTGAAGCTTTCATACCTAGAAACAACATAAATATGGACAACAGCATCTTTACATTTTGTGTTATGACCTTGACCCTTGAGTGACATTCACTTTCAACGTCAAATATTTCAATTCCAGTAATTAATCTAACAAATTCATTTCCATTTTCTGATAAGGCCTTTGTGTTTTACCAACCTATATAGGATTCTAGTAAGATTATTCACAATAAGCCTAAATTTATTTTGTGTAATAAGAATTAATAATTTTAAATGGGAATGAATGTTGGGGGGTACTCTCTTCTTGAACAAATTAGGATAGTATTTTATGTTGCCATTTGGTTTGTTCATAAGACTCACTGAAGGTTACACATAGTTTTATCAGTTACTTTGGTATGTAGTTACTTTGCAAAGATAAAGTTATACTTTCTGATCGAGTTTTAAAGTCAATAGGGTGAAGGTCACTGGGGTTAAAAAAAAAATTTTGTTTTTATTTAGCTATTGTTTTGGCTACGCCAAAAAGGCTTGAACTTCTGGGACCTTTTTTTGTCACAGATTTTCTTCTTTATATAAAATATTGTTACTACATGTAGTTGAATGTGCTTTCATTTAGGTTACTTGTAAATTTGTAAATACAAATGTTTTGTTTTTTCCTTTATTGTTTTATATTTTCAGACAAAAGTGAGATTTACTTTTGATCCTTTGTCTTAAAATGTTTCATTTATTGTAAAAGATGTCCTCTTGATATTGCATTTTGTCTATTGTTTCTTTGATGTGATACTTAGATTTATCAGAGAGATATAAATCATATCACACTGTTTGAAACAAGGTGAAATATAAAGATTTGGTACATGTTTTAAACAGTGAAAGAAAGTGCAATATAGAATACTAAAAACATAGAGATAATAAAAAATATTGTCATCATGTGTCAAGATGTTTTAGTAAACCTGATGTAAAATTGCATCATTTGGTGGGATTTGTTAAGTAATGAATGTCTTACAATTTCATATGCAACAAATATCTTCACTCTCATTTATCTGGTATGATAATTGGTATTTGTGTTTTGGTTACATATACAAGTGTAGTTTATTAGACTCTTAAGCTACTGAAATCATGTAATGGATTTGCGTTGGTTTGAATTTGGAACACACTATTCAGAGTTTAGCCCCTTATTGAGGAGGTGTTGCCTTTACAGATTGAGGCATCCGGATTGCATCAACTTTTTAACCTTACATGATTGAAAAAAGCAACTAAATGGGTTCAAATTACTGGAGTTTTGCGCATCTCTTAGCTCCAGCAGGTGAGATGGTTTTGACCTATAGTGTTACTTAAAGTTTGTAACACCTGAGGTTTTAGCAAAAAAACATCTTTTGAAACGAAAATAGAATTTACAAGAAACAAGAATTCAGTATTAAATATACAAAATTTTAGCTGCCTACAGGATATACATTGAAACCTGGTCAGATTGCACATATGTTAAGACTTACCTGACTACATTGGTGTCAAAGGTTAAACACTTTTAGTTCAGACAGGTTCATGGTTTTAGAATATATTAAACCATTTAGTGTTCTAATTATTCCATTGAGAAAGTGGGAATATAACTGAATATGTGTACTCTGGTTTATATATTGTGTAAATATGTTAATACTGTTATTTGTTATGTGTTCATTTCTTTCCTTTGATTAATTACTATTAAATTTTCTTCTTTTTTTGTCCATTTTTGATGCTATTCATTTGTATAATTATGGTAATAAGGGACCAAGAACTGACATTTTTTTGGTGCTATTTATATGTATAACTATGGTAAAAAGGAACCAAGAATTGTCATACAATAAAGTTATCTTGACTTTAGAAAAATAGCAGATCTAATCCATTGTTAATTAAGTTGAAATTTTGAATATGCATAAAGGTATCAGGGCTATTTCTCAAGCATCTATAAATGGATAATATCAAAACTTATCACTTGCATTTTCAGTAATGACACATTCTAAGGGAATTAATTTGTGTAACTCAAAGCTGTATGTAGTAAGACTTAATGGTCCTTGAAAAACTTAAACTTTGCAGTCAGGTTCAAGTATATGCAAGTTCTAATTCCATAACCACCGAAAGTCTCACCTTTGAAATTCCATACATGTATTGTAATCATATTGTAGGTCTCTTATCAAAACACATAAATCTAGCACGGATTGTCCTTTATGATCTTAGAAACTTCCATATTTAAGAAATGTGTGTTATAACTATATCATCAATGGTGAGTATTTCCTTGGAACCATTGAACTTTCTCTTGGGAAATGATTGTAGCTTACTGACCAAGACACTAGCATTTACCATTGTGAACTTACAACAACATTTCTGCTTTGCTCTTGTTTTATGAGAATACATGTAGTTAAACAGGCTGTCGTATAATAGGCTGATAGCTTATGTCTTTGTAAAAATTAGTTGTTCATCCTTTGAGCTAGACATGTCACTTTAATATACAACAAAAATTGTTGATAATGATTTATATAACATTGTTATATTTAGTTAGATTTTATTCCATCATTGTGTTATATTAAATGATTTTGTTGAAATTTTATTTGCCAAATTGAGATTAATATTAATTACTTTGATATGTTATTTTATTATTTTGATAAATACCAAGATTTATAAAAAAAGATGCACAAGAGACAATACAGTATATGTTGATATTGTTGAAATTATTCTAGTCATTCTAAAAGGTTGAACTGACCTTGACCTTTACTGTAAAGGTCAAATTGTTGAATTTTGGTTAAATTGTCCAAATTTTGTTATTTTTGTGCAGATTTGATTCATACAAAACATGTAGTCATTATGTCATTTTTTTTACTTACTTTTTTCCCCCAAAGATTTTTGAAACAGCTTTCCTATAAAGATAGTTGCTATTTATCAAAAAAAAGCAATGTCAGTTATTAGTCACTAAAACAATTTTTTAAGACACATAGTCCAAAGTTTAAACAGTAAGGTCACTGAATTCCCAAAATAAAATGTCAAGATCCCCTGTTTTATAAATATAACCCAAATTTTATATAGCAAGATCACAAATTGATGAACAAAGTCACAAGTTTAAAAGGCATGATTTTCAATAGAACTGAAGTAGATCTTAGTTAAATCTCCAGTTTAATAAACAAAGGTAAGTAGCAAGATCGTCAGCTCAAAAAGCAAATCCTCATTTTCATTAAAAAATGGATGACTTATTTAAAGGGCAAGGCAATTAAAAAAAATGAATTAGATCAGGTTATAAGAGAGGAGGGTGCTAAGTAAAAAATGCAGGATCTCCAGTTCCATGAACAATTTATATTATTATAATATTGACAAAGACAATAGAAATGTTTCATTTGGATATTTTTATAAAACATTGCTAGAAAAGAATATATTTATTAACTTCTTAGTGGTTCAGTATGAACATTCATGTGACAAATAATAATATTTTTCTAGTTTGTTATATCAGTCATGAATCTCACCTTTACCAACAACATCCATATATAATCATTTTGTGGTTTGTTGTTATGTGTGGTACTAAATACTATTGAAGTAATTATTTATTGTATGACAAATCTGTCATTGTAGACCAATTCACTTTGATAGCAAAATATTAACATGAAACATTTTAAGGTGTAAATATTTTGATTCATTCTATATTTTAGACATACATGTTATTATTTGTAGTAAGCTTTGCAAATTTACCTAATTACTTTTCTAGTTGTGTCATTTGAATTTACTGACATGATATTTTCAGTCAATGTTTTGCCACTTTTGTGTTTTTAGATTACTTGAGCTTAAATCTCATGAGCTATTGTGATTGCTCTCTGTCTGTTGCTATGTGTTGACAACAATTCCTTGAAACATGTTCTTCTCTGAAACTAATTACTGGATTTTGACCAAACTTCAAAGTGATGACCTTTGGCTGGTCCCCTATCAAAGTTGTTTAAATGGTTCAGATGGGTTTTATAAGGTCACCAGGCCTCAAAGAAGAGGTTTCTAAGATTTTAAAAATTCAAGGTTCAGTTCTTGACATGTGGGGATTTTCTCCATACATTGGTTATATAAATAGTGAAAACTTGAAGAAAAAAAATTCTGAAACCTACGGGGCTGGAACTTAGATATTGGACATGACACATTGTCTAGTAGACTTCTACCAAGATTATTGTCATTTAGTTGAAACTTACCTTGCCCTAGGGATCTTAGCCACGTCCTTGGGGTCATCAATGTTACATAGACAAGGGCAGAGAAAAAAATATTCATTATCTGTTCTGTTGTATGTGTGGTACAATATCAGTCCTTCATAGCAGACGGTCTCGTTAACTCTGAAAGTTTACTTGGCATTGTTTTAGTTTACATGTCCTCAGGTGAGCGACTTGGATTTATTGGCCCACCTTGTTTATATTTCTTATTGTAATAAGTTTGTTCATATGTTCAAAATAAAAAGTTGAATTGTTAAATATTTGTTATGCATTTTATGCCCCTCTCTGTCTGTCCGTGCAAAACACATGGGTGATTATGAAAATAATAGGTATTGGTATTTTTTATTTTTTCTCTTTTTTTCGCACCGTCTGTCTGTCTGTCTGTGTGTCCCCACTTACACAACATTCGTATCCGGACTGTAACTTTGTCGAGTATTATAGGATTTGAAAACAACTTGGCACAAATGTCTACCACACCAAGACGATGCTTCGTGTCAAAGAACCACTCCCTAACTCAAAGATCAAGGTCACGTTTAGAGGTTGACGGTACACCACGTACACAACAATCATGTCCGGACCATAACCTTGTCGTGATTCTCTTTTGCAAGATATTACAGCTGCGACGGCTCGTTCGTTATTAATGATTTGGCTGTGAAGGCCTCAGTTGTTGTTAGAAATATATACTTGCTACTTTTGGAAAACTCTTACGGAACATGTAGATTATAAACAAAATGTCCGTGCATTGAATGTTCAACGCATGGTTCATTGCACATCTGTTCATGCCTATAGCTAAGTCACAGAGGGGTCCCTGAGGTCTACTTCCACCAGTAAAACTGGAAAGTCGCCATATGAACTATACATTGTTGGTGCAACGTAAAACCCATTAAAAAGGGAATGTACATCTGTTTTAAATACGTATGTGATGTAATATATATACAAAGGTTTAAAGTTAACACATCTGTACACATTTAGACATAGTTGATATGGAAAACAATAATGAAATGGATATCAATTTTGTCTTTCTCTCCCCACGTGATTTGTCTCTACCCATGCAGTAGCTTTTGTCTTATCTTTACCCTAATGCTTTTGTATCTACCCAAATACTTTTGTCTCTACCCAAGAGCTTTTGTCTTGTCTGTATCCAAGTGATTTTGTCTCTACCCAGGTGATTTTGTCTTGTCTCTACCAAAGTGCCCTCTCCAGTCTTAATTATTTAACGTACATATTACTTCGGAGGGGGGGGGGGGTGTATTCAATTCTAAATATCGCAATGTCGTCTTTAGCAAAGAAGAAACCGGTTAAAATATTAACAATTCCACTTCCTTAGACGATGATTTTCAAATGTGAAAATGTTCTATCTCAGTAGAAGTACACCTGTTTGCAAGAACTGTAAAGCCTAACAATTTTATGCATTATGCTTATTTCCAAATAAATGTGAAGTAATAATCAAAACATATCAGATCACATGCATAAGATTTAAAAATTGAAGAAAGGAAACAACAATGTACTGATTGCGAGTTTTTAACTGTCCCGCTTTTTGTGTCGCCTCTACGGAGTAGTGGCGACATATAGGGATCACTTCTCCGTCGTCTGTCTGTCTGTCCGTCTGTCTGTCTGTCTGTCCGTCCGTCCGTCACAAAACTTGTCCGGACTACTCCTCATAAACTACTGGTGCAATTTCATCCAAACTTTACAGGAATGATCAGTACCAAGTCTAGTTGTGCATATTGTCAGCATTTTCCGGTTCAATGATTTTTGTCAGAGTTATGGCCCTTTAATAATTTTTATTTTTAAAGTTTGTCCGGACTACTTCTCTTATACCACTAATGCAATTTCAATGAAACTTTACAGGATTGATCTGTAGCTCAAGTCCTTGCGCATATTGCACGGGTTTTCCGGTTGAATGATTTTTGGCCGAGTTATGGCCCTTTGATAAAAAGGTGTTTTTTTTCTGTGTGTTGCCAGATACACAAAAGCTTGTCTGGACTACTCCTCATAAACTACTGGTGCAATTTCATCCAAACTTTACAGGAATGATCAGTACCAAGTCTAGTTGTGCATATTGTCAGCATTTTCCGGTTCAATGATTTTTGTCAGAGTTATGGCCCTTTAATAATTTTTATTTTTAAAGTTTGTCCGGACTACTTCTCTTATACCACTCATGCAATTTCAATGAAACTTTACAGGATTGATCTGTAGCTCAAGTCCTTGCGCATATTGCACGGGTTTTCCGGTTGAATGATTTTTGGCCGAGTTATGGCCCTTTGATAAAAAGGTGTTTTTTTCTGTGTGTTGCCAGATACACAAAAGCTTGTCCGGACTACTCCTCATAAACTACTGGTGCAATTTCATCCAAACTTTACGGGAATGATCAGTACCAAGTCTAGTTGTGCATATTGTCAGCATTTTCAGGTTCAATGATTTTTGTCAGAGTTATGGCCCTTTAATAATTTTTATTTTTAAAGTTTGTCCGGACTACTTCTCTTATACCACTAATGCAATTTCAATGAAACTTTACAGGATTGATCTGTAGTTCAAGTCGTTGCGCATATTGCACGGGTTTTCCGGTTGAATGATTTTTGGCTGAGTTATGGCCCTTTGATAAAAAGGTGTTTTTTTTCTGTGTGTTGCCAAATACACAAAACCTTGTCCGGTCTACTCCTCATAAACTACTTGTGCAATTTTATCCAAACTTTACAGGAATGATCAGTACCAAGTCTAGTTGTGCACTGTCCGTCTGTCTGTCCGTCTGTCACAAAATTTGTCCCAACATGAAATTGGCCATCATGAGGCGACACATGTGATTACTTATCGCTCTTGTTAAGTTAAACATTATATCATAATTTTCGTTATCCGAAGTTTGGAGATTGAGGCCGAAAAGTTGCGATTGCTGTTTAAATGATGGGGCTGTCACATCATTGCGTAATAACTATATATAGAGAAACATGTCATTTAGCATATACTAGGTGGATATGCGTCGCTAAAGATATTACTTGTAATAAAATAAATACCAAAACGTGAAAACACATTACTTGTAATAAAATAAATACCAAAACGTGAAAACACTCATTTATTAACCAAAATATACCGTACGTGCTTTCAAGGAAACATATCCCCCCATTTCAAATCCTGTTTCCTAACATAGTGTTTTTTTCCATGCCTTAACACTCTTGCGTGGTTTTCTCCATGCCACATTATGCCATATGTGTTTAATTATGTTTAAATAAGGATTAAGTGCATGTTAGATGTTTAACAACTGAAAAAAGTAGCTTTGGTAGTTATGTGTCGTAATTGTAGCAAAATGTAAACAAGGTAATATATTGACTTCCATACAAAATACTAATTCATTATCATTATACCAACTATCCAACAGAACTAAAGAAGGATGCAAAAGAAAGTTCATGTATACATTAAATGAGTAAGGTTTTAGAAACTACCAAGATATCTAAAAATAAACCGATTTTGAGAAGTAAAAATGAAAGCATTTCTGAGGCATATAATTATGGTCTTAAACAACTTTTAATGTTTATTTTTCTTTTACAACTTAGATGGACAATAATACACAGACTGTGTACATCAAAGAAATGTATGTTTACTAATGACAAATATATGTTTTGCACTTAGATGACGGTAAATTACGTTATTCTACCACCAAGTAACTTAAATGAACCTCAAGATTTTTTAACAATGTTTAGAAATTCGAATACCCTTATAACGATTACATAAAAGTAATAAACATATCTCTTAAATAAAAAAATATCTATGGAAAGCATTGCTAAAATTCATTAGTTGAATTCGCTTCTTCAATGAAGATTATGTGTTAATGTGAATTTTCATATAACCAAATTTTTGAAAGGGAATTGAAAGTACTTTGATAACCAATTAAAGACAATACTCCACAAGGGTTGATATTTTACTAGTTTTCCAGAGGGAACCATAAGTCCAAGTTTTGCTCATTTTCATAAGTTTGCCTAAAAAAATATGCAAGTTGACATCCAAAACAGAGAGGGTTACCACATATACTTGCCAAATCCGGGGGGGGGGGTCCGTGTCCGCACATGCTTCCCATTTATAAATGAACAATAAACACAATTCCTTTGATATAGGTATTTCATAGAATACAATACAAGAGATATGCAGTGAATGATAAAATTCATATCTCACTGTCAAGTATTAAAATGATAACAATAACATAAAATGTCCAAGAAAAACAATTGCATATCATCAGTCAATCATACTATAGAGCTAATCGTTCCAAAAATGTTGAAAATAATCTTTTTTTTATATCTGAGCTCCACTGAGGTCCAACAGCCTAAAATATACATGAGCCGCGTCACGACAAAACCAACATATTGCGTTTGCGACCAGTTAATTAACCAACCCTACAAGTAGAGAAACTGATAGCGAACAGCATAGATCCTGATCAGACTGCGCGGTTCGCAAACGCACTATGTTGGTTTTGTCGTGACGCGGCTTACATATTTCATTCCTTACTTACATTAGCTGCGGCAATGGAAACATATGTAAAAACTATTATAATGAAGAAATACAGTCAGAATGTTTTAATTTGAATTTTCTTTTTTGTCTGATTAGAGGTCATTGTAAGCATTTTGCACAATAAGAATGTTATTCTGGAAAAACGGCCAGTGCGAATAATCTGAAAATTTGCACTCAAGTTATTGGCTGAGGGTTTAATGAAATGATAAAAATTCTCAAAAATAAAAAATTCAGTCCCGCCATGTGAAACAACTTCACTAGAGACCATCCATTTACAGTTTTAAATTTACATCTTTTACGTGCATTTGTTTTATATATTCATGAATACATAAATATGAAATGTGTTCGTCAGAAAGCCTTCATAAAAATATTCACCAACTCTTTTGCACGTCTATTTCTGATGTTTATGGCATAAAACATAACATTAAATTTTAAACTAGTTCTTTGTATTATTTGTCGTGAAACTATATTTCCATACATCATTTTAATTTCATTCTTGAAATATATTTGAATTAATTGACATATATATTACAGTTCTGTTTTCAATGTTGCATTTCATGCAAGTCTTTGCTTTCACACGATATATAAAAACCTGAAAAAGAAATTTAAAACTTCACTTAAATTGTTAGAATAATTGGTTTAGTTTAATTATAAGGAGTATTTATAAGGGAGAATACAGTCACGTTGCAAATGTATGTTCCGTCGTAAATCATTCATGATGACAAGTGAAATTACTACATTTAACATCTTATTTACATAACAAGCAATAAAAAACATGTTTTACTTCAAATACTTTTTTGTACGTACACACAACATCAAGGACATCTTATGATTCTCAATTCAAATACATTCTTCGAAAAAGTACTTAATATAGAGCATAAATATAGCGCATGTTGTTTTTTATGTTGTAATTAGTGAATGAAATCATTAGCTTATATTCAAAAAGCTACCTGGCTTAATTAATGACAAAATATAAGCGTTTAAGTACGTACGAATTATACACAAATTTGAAGTTATAAGTAATACATTAAACTATTATATATTTTTAAAGTACCATTTACATTTAGTTCTATTTCTTTGCGTTAGCTGCCTTTGCCTTTACTTTCCTTCTTGGCCCCCTTCGTCTAGGCTTTTTAACGGGAGCACCCTCTGCCCCCTCACCACCAGCTGCTGCTTTGGCCTTAGCTCCGCCTCGTTTTGCTCCGCCCTGTTTACCAACTCCAGCTGGCGGTCCGTCCGGTAGGTCCGGACCGTCGATAATTCCCAGCATAGACAGGGCATTTAAGCTTTGCTGGGCTCTTTTCTGAGCGCCAGGACGTTGGATACCAAAATTTCCTAAGCCATAAGCAAGTGGTCCCAATCCTAGATTTCCAAAACCTGGTGACTGTCTCGTTGCTTGAAGAGCCAAGAAATCATTGAAATCTTAAAGGAAAAAACAACAACAACACCTTTTACGAATGTTTTACGTCTGATCGATAACAACTACATACATGTTCTTAAAATATTTCAATAAGAAATAAATACAAACTTTACCTTAAGAAGTTCATTTTATCAGGAAAAAATGAGACTTACATGATTCATTTACAATCAAAATGTTTATTATTACATACAGTGAGAGTAATTTTACTTCGAGTTGAGATATTGTGTTCGTTATAACATATGTATGGTCAATATATAAGCATTTGACCGACAATAAAAGTATCTCAGAAATGTTCAAAGATCGCCTGTTGTGAGTATACACATTCTTGTAAATTCTTAAGACCGGCTGTTGTGAATATATTCATTCTTGGACCTTTTTTAAGACCGGCTATCATGGGTATACACATTCTTGGAAATTTTAAGACCGGCTGTTGTGGGTTCACACATTCTTGAAAGTTTTAATCTCGGCTGTTGTAAGTATACAGATTCTTGGGAACTTACAAGACCGGCTAGCGTGAGTATACGTACTCAATCTTAAAAATATTTTAAGACCGGCAGTTGTAAGTACATGTATATACATTCTCGGACATTTTTCAGACCGGTTATTGTGAGTATACACGTTTTGGGAAAAAGTTTGTCATTTAAAATTTATCAATGAAACCAGAAACAAAAAGGTGAAAAACGCAGACTTGGGCTCATGGTCTGCATAGAAGTAATATATGTGCTAACAGTATGTCTTAGAAATGTTATTGTATGATTAGCAATGATTACTGTAAATAGCACGTGGCATCTAAATACAATCATTCTAAATATACGGTAAAATATTAATATGATAACATTTAATATGATAACATTGAGTGATGTGACTGCAGTTTACAAGATTTCCTAGCATTTGTTGATCATACAAACTCATACAATGTGTACAGTTGTGCATGTACTTTGTGTCGACAGAGTGACTTTTATATCGAAACTTTGGTGTATTACACCCAGTAAGTTAAGAAATGTTTACAAAATAAAGGTAAATTTGCATTTTTCGTGACATAGAAATAGCATAAATTTTATACTTTTTCTTTGAGACAATATACCTTCTACGTTCAGAAATGAAAGAGAAAACAAGCATAAATTAAAGAGAATACTTGCATTTATTGTCACCAAATGTCATCCTAAATATGTCGAAAACTTTGATAACAGGAATAAGAACTGTACTTAATTAATGTAAAGAAAAGCCCTAAAATGAACGACCTGTTAAAAGTTTCATTTATGATTGGCTGTTTTGAGAATCATTATAGAATTCCCAAGGACGGTTCAAGCCTGTAAATGATATATCCTATTCGAAATGTAACTGAACATTTGAAATGACTGGATGGAACATAATAAATTTGCGAGTTTATAGCGATGTATCTGTTGATCATCATTGAATATATGAAATATACATATAGATCTATTTCTCATCCAAGTTCATCGTAGTGTTTTTCGGCCAAAGACCGTCTAAAATCAGTTTGACTTCCTGTAAAATTGCCAGGGAAGAACGGAATATCAGAAGAATTTTTATTGGCCATTTTAAAATTACAAACTGAAATCTGGGAATCTCATTGGCCATTCTAAAAATGTAAAGAATTATTTCTTGCCATTCTAAAATAAAATTTAAAGGATAATTTTGAAATAAAAAATGTACAGGATAGTTCTTTAACTTTATAGTTTCATTTCTATATTAACTTTCTAGTTTCATTGCTCATATGTTAGTTCTGTTTAACCATATTTATTCCTACAAACAGTTTACACTGCGTTTAGATCTCTTTTCATTTTCTAGTGAATATTTTATATTACACAAGAACTTACTTAGTTAAAATAACGAGACCACCAAAGCAATATGTTTATAATTTAAGTTCTTTCTTCTGTCTTTACAGAATATTACAGAATAGTTTTGTTTCTTAGCTACATATGCAAGGTTAATTGACCAGTTGACCAGTTTTACTTCAGCCGAATATTTTTAAAGGATACTTCTGTTACTTTTCAGTTGTAATTCCTCAATTGCAAATGCATTGTAACATAAAATGCACAGCAAAAACTATATTTAAAGTATTATGCCCTTTATATTATATAATAACAAGTATCAATAAAGCAAAACAAGTCTCTTGTTAACAATAAATAACTAAACCTTTACGCCACCAGTACTGTCAATGGTGGCTTGACTTAAAAACAAATCAGTTCGTGACAAAAGAATAAAATGAAATGACAATAAAATCGTTTCTTACCGAAACCAAAAAGTAGTGCTAGCGCCAGAAGATTGTTATTATTGTTGTTGTTGTTGTTGTTGTACTGTTGCTGTCCGCTATAAAGCGGATGTGGTCTATTAAACTGGGGCTGTGCACTTCCGGTTAAAAGCAAAGCAAACGGAATGCAGAAACATAACACAGATTTCATCACTGGTTTATGTAAATTGTGAAATAAGAAATTGTTTCCAAATTTGAGCACCATACAAAAGTAAGAAGTTTTCCTTCACTTTAAGTAGAAGCTTGTTTCGTTTGAAGATGTCCCTGAATAAAGAAAATATCATAATAACATGTTACGTAAAATGTCAGATCATTATTTGGTCAGTTTGGCATCGTTGTGTTACATATCATATACAGTGCCAAATGAGAATCACAAATAAGGAATTTTTGATCTAAGAACAAATGTCTTATCAATTCCATAGTGCACTAGAACTTTTGTACTGATGTTGTACACATGCCATTTCACGAATTATGAAGGTGACATCGGTCGTTATTCTGACAACTAAAACGCGTTCATAACCGATATTTTAATTTGTCCCTAATACATGCAATTACAAAACTTTCAGATTTTAGAACGCGTATGAGAATATCAAAATACGAAAGTTTTATTTTCGAGATAAAGGTCGAAACTATACCAATGCCAAGTACGGTTTTGAAACCCCTTTGTTTACAGTAAACTGCACATAGTAAATGCACTTAATTCGGTATCATAATTTCAGTCGTAACATTTTTTGAGTTAATGGGACAACTTTCATAACTGCTGCAGTGATAAGTACACCACACAACTGTTTCCTCCACAAAACCTAAATAAGCGACACGTTGCAGTGACCCAGAAATTCTTTATGTTTTTACAATAAAACTCACAACTGCAAAATTGCAAAATGTTTAAATAATGATTGCTAATTGAGCCTTTCATTTTTATCAGATGTTATGGAAGATAATTTTAAATCCATTCTCTGCGGACAACTTGTATGAAATAATCCGCGTCACGACAAAACCAACATAATGGGTTTGCGACCAGCATGGATCCAGACCAGCCTGCGCATTCGCGCAGTCTGATCAGGATCCATGCTGTTCGCTATCAGTTTCTCTAGAGTATGTAGGCGAACAGCATGGATTCTGATCAGACTGCGCGGATGTGCAGGCTGGTCTGGATCCATGCTGGTCGCAAACGCACTATGTTGGTTTTGTCATGACGCGGCTCAAATAATCCGAAACTGGGAACAATCATTCTCGAAGCCAGTGCACGCGGAAAAGCATTTCACTATGTTTTTTTTTTCTTTTAAAGCTATCACTTTTCCTCCGACAGAATACTAACGTTATCAGTTCCATATAAAAACACGCGTTTATTAAATATGTTTTTATTTTCAGGAGGGACAGACCTATTTACAACAGAGCCATGCATAAACATTTGAACTAAACAGTCGTTAACGTAATATATAAATTGTAGTTTATTAAACGAAACTTTCAGTGATGTAAGAAAAAATAGTTCACATTCCCCAAAGTATTCGGAACTTAAAAACAAAATATAGTATATTAAAGAAAACAACTAGTGACTGAAAAATTTACAATACTTGTCAATTTAAAAAATCTTCATTAGTCAGTTGTTAGTCAGTTAAATTACACTAAAATTCATTAATTTAACCCAAGTCTTTCTTCAAACATTTATTTTTGAAATGTCAAAATGTATATGGGAATGTTTTCAGCTGTCAGCTGCAAACATTCAGTCTCATCTCGCATATTAATTGTTTGTGCGGAGAATTTGTTACTTATTTCCGTTTGTAGACAATAAAACGTCAACTAATAACGCGTTCGGACAGACGCACATTTGTTTTCTAAAATGATTTCAAACGGATATATGCATTTATTTATTTTATTTATTTATTTGCTTTTAGCTTTTGCAAGTAGTAAATAATTTAATGAAAAATTGTATATAAGATTTACATATATGACTGCATTTCAAGTACAGGTCTTATAGTTCAAATTAAGAAATTGCGAAAGTAGTTCCTTATGAATAGTTCTATACTAATATTAATTTTAATTCTATAAGTAATAGTCCTTTCCCTTCACAATTTACACATACACCACAATTCATTACTAATTGTTTTTTTATTATTAATTGCTAGAATACTTTAAATAATGATTATATATAAATATCCTTACCACAGCAAAATTACCAAAGTCGAACAAATAGGAAATCAATTGTTCATGAATAATCATAAAACGCACAAATTTGCATGACGAATAACACATTAATTAACATAAGCTGTCAGTCACATATATACATTGATTACCAAGGCATGTATATGATACATAATATAAAATAACAGAAAAGAAAGTTTGCAAAAAAAGACTTTTATAACAACAAAATTCAACTAATTTATTAAAATTTATATAAAAAGGTACATCCTAGTGTATAAAGGCGAATAAAGAAATATAAGAAATAAAACTTACCAAAAGTCTTGTCGGCGGTTATTTTCCACTAGGATAAAATAGACTCGTGTATCTATGTTAGTACGCCTTAATAATACGTTATGTCAATGGTTGACAGCGCCATGAAAAACTCTGACAAGTTACGATGCTTTACATATAATTAGTACTTTAAATAACGTTATATTTACATCACGTAATTTCTAATTGCATCTTACGTAACCTATATAACAAAAGCTGAATTCCGCCTTTAAAAAAGGTCATATATAAATAAAATAGTATGGCATAATATAGAACATATATAGGATGTAATGAAAGTGCAGCAGATTCTATAGATTATCTACTTTCTATTTATTATCAATATCGTTTATTTTGGGAAGGAATCTTCATTGAAGACATAACATGTCTTTATCTTGGCCATGTGAGGAAGCTAGGGGTAAAATGTCTCAAATTTGACCTCATTCGTGTTGCGACCTTAAACAATATTTCTTATAATTTGAAATGTACGCGACTTTTTTTATATCTGATCGAGCCAAAATATTTATTTCTACAAAGAATAATATTAGTTTAAAAAAAGATTTTTAAGGGATTATATGACGCAATAACAAAATGTAAGCTTATATGGCGATTCGGGTTTATATAACAAGAGATTTGTTCACGATCATATAACCTGCCTGTCAAAAGTTTTAATAGCGAATTTACAACTAAACAATTTGAACAATTTAATATTTATTTATTTTTTATTCGAAATAAGAATTAGGTGACAAACTTGCAGTAAAAAATATGACATCATATAAAAACGCCACGATTACCTAATGAAAATCGACGTTACAAAACGTGCACGTGTCACTGCACGTGACAAAAATGATATCTTACTGTTTGATGCTGGGCTGTTATCAAAAAAAAAATATCTGTGCTTCAGAGATAGAAAACGAATTGAATCAATTGAAATACATTGTAACAATAATTATTGTCCACAGCTTGTCACATAATTCATGTATTTCCCCTAGTTCTCCATGGCCTTTCATATGGTCCATGGCCCTTCATATGGTAATATTGAAACAGGCTGAAACTAGCAATTATGGCGAAATATCGGTCGTATTTTGCACACCCAAAGATTAAATATATTTTAAAATACGGCCTTCAGCAAATACAATGGATATCAATTTCATTTCATTATGTAAACTTTAAGATGACCAATTGCATGTCGTGGTTGGTCTGTAAATATATTTTAATAACAAAAATGCATACATCATGAGGTCAGCTTGTTTACAAAAATCATGCTTAATTATTATTCCTACCTGTCAAATACTATTAGGTTATTAATGGTATAAACCATCTATATTTATATCAAGACATGCATAAATAAATCATATACATGTGCATGCACACGTAGGATACGATGTGTACATATGCATTTTACATGTTGATATACATGCACATAAGGCAATAGTTTTGCCTACAGGAAACACTGCTGAGAGTGCGATAAGATATAGTTTGTTAAACTTATTTTTATTTTTATATTTTAGCTCGTCTGCAAAACAAGATTTTTCAACTTATATTAATTAAGTACATATGTATCAGCCCGCTTGCTGAGGATACATGATTGTGACCAGAGTAGGGCTCGAACTCATGATCCCAGGGTTAATGGGACAAGACCACGGCAACCGATTTCGCCTGGGCGGCGCTAGTGCATATTTTTCTATGTAATTTTGTTGAAAATATATGTACCTTATTTTCCTGATTCCAACCCATTTATTTGATTTCGTTGCAGTAAGTCAATGACCCAGCACGGAAACAATGTAAGACATATGACCTTAGCCTATATAGGACACATTACCTCCAGATGCCTGCGTTCATAAGCGGCCTGGCCGACACGTTTATTTTGTCTGCTAGTAAAAGTAAAACTATAAACTATCTTCTGTAGCGCACCGTGGCCTACCTTTGATTTGATTTTGATAGGGATTAGGATTTAAAAGTTTACAGGACAATCTTTATGGCAATATAAGACACAGGGTATCACCTCAAGATGCCCATGTGACTTTCGAGATCCGCGATGTTGCAATTATTTATTTTCTTTAGAACAGTGAACATGGCCTGCAAAATTCGCGCCGTGTTGTAAAATGACCGGCGATACCGTTTGCTGTATATAAATTCTTCGTATTTTCGTAAACTATACAGTCACCATTTTTTTCGGAACTCACTGAGCACGTGGTGGGTTGGCCATTGCAATAGCTTGGAGGCACACTTTACGGCAATAAAAGGTACATAGCGCTATTCAAAGAAACATGCCAGATACCCGCGTGACATTGGCGTTAACACCATTAATCTGACCTCATCATGTCTTACCCTTTGGTCGAATTTCATGCAATAGCTTAGACTATCCACATTATGGCAATATAAGGCACATGGCGCTTTCCAAAGAAACAGCACTTAACCGCGTTTTCGCTGCGCTGCTCCTACGTCTGCTCCTCTCTATAAATTATCAGAGTTTTAATAAAAATTCTTTGAAGACTTCACCGTGACCTACATATTGGACCAATTTTGTTGTGAGTTAGCCATTGACATACATTTGAGGCTTATCTTTATGGCAATATTAGGCACATGAGCTAATTGGAGCAATTTTGTTCTTTCTTTTTATAAAAGCACCACTATTCAGACAGATTCCATCCTGACTTACAAAGTTTTCGAATTTCTTTGTAAATTAGCCAATGCAATAGGCACAACTTACCCGCCTGATTTAAACGTATTAACCTTGCGCGGTGATTTTGTCTGTACTGTATAATAATGATAATGATACACATGTAATAATAATGGATTGCAGTTTTATCCTTGCGAAGCTTTTTATTCCGTTAACATAACTTTATTTATCCTAGTAAATAAACAAGATACTGTCACTCAATTATACACTGCAAAATCTGTTTGCGAAGAACATAAATGTCTAAAACTAGAAGTAAAATTCGGGAAATACGTGCAGGTTTGTGCTGCTTTCCATTTACTTCAACAAATGTTATCATCAATTACATTTCATGTTTGTTTGGGTTGATTATTCCAATCAATCAAACAAGTTCGATCTCTTGAACGAACATCAAAACGAAAAAAGTGTGTATTTGCAAGTTACATTTTTATGTATAAAAATCTCTGCTAAAAATAGAGCCGTCTAGAGATAGCGCGTAGACTTATGGGAAAACATCGGAAAACCCATTACTTTTTCGTCTGCTGATGGTGTGAGTAGATCTCTTGTCAAATTTGTCGCAGTCCGGATCTTGGTATTCTTTCACCTCATATCTCTTTGCTCGTCCAAACGACTTCGGTTCTTGGAATTTACCGATCAAACTTATGTTCTGTTTTGGTATCCAGGGTAGCGGGGAGCGCAACCAGGCATACTTCCTCTTGGGTACCCAACCCTGGATCACGACATAGCGGTCGCCATTAAGAAAGAAGTAGCATTCGTATTCACAGTCGTAGAGAGGTTGCGGTAACAAATCTTCTGTAACATAGTTGTATAAAACCATATACTCACTTAAACTCAGTTCCTTACCATTGGGTCTTTTTTCTTCAAATATATTCTTTTCATTCTCCGGAACTTCTATATGTATAACATCGTAACCTGTGATAATCCGACCCTCTGGAAACTTCCATTTTATTTCTTCCTTCCCGAAACATGGAAAACAACGCAAAATTGAGTCTGGCATATTTTCCTTCTGTTCCAAGGCGTAGTATTCCTGACGTGACAACCACTAACAACACAATGAAATATGACGTCATAGACGGTGCAGACGTCAAAGACGGAGGTTCATCAAAGCCTAAACATAGGTGTGGTCAATAGTTTTGTATTGAAAGACACCGAGATACCAAAAAAGTTGTTTAGTTGAGCGACTCCAAATCAAAGTGGAAGAACCATTTTACTGGATAATACATTAAAAGAGGTAATTGCAAATGTATTTCTAAATACATTTTAATATTAATTTTTGTGGTGCCTTTTGGCTCTGTTCACGAAACTAATTTTTAAGTTTTATAATATTATAAAAGAACAACATTAAACATGTTATATCATGTACTTGTCAGTACAGACAACAACAACAACACCATATATCGTCTGCTTTAATCTATGTCGGGCTCATACAGAACAAGATGTAAGAAAATAACATAATAACAATGTACATACATGTATTGGTAATGAAAATTACGAAACATCTGGTGATTATCTGTTGTTTCTTCGATCAGTTATCATCCTTTTATCTAGAGCGAGCATAATATTATTTTTTTCAACGAGTTCAATTAATTCAGTACTGAAATTACACGAACATAATATTCTTTTTATCACATATCCAAAATAAAGAGTGTTTTAAGTAAAAAAATCATTTCTCAATGAGGCGCCTAAAGTGTAACGCGTCTTTACACTATGTTTTTTTAACGCAAGTGACGTCACGTCAAGATATATGCACGGCCGTGCAATACCGTTTTTACGGAGTCACAAAATAGGCACTAAAAGGCACCGCATAAGTTAATAAAGGGTATTACGAACTATCTTGTGATGAGCTCTTGTTTCTTCGATCAATTATTATCCTTTGATCTCTACAATCCCGAACAGACTATGAGCCAGTGAGACGCACATCATTGTGACGTATACTGACGTTGTTTTAATGACTCCGTCGTTGATGAACGGCAACATTTGTTTTCGAAATAAAATAAACAGCCTTGAATGGGCAGTTGTCTTATTAGTATCAAATAAGGAATAACAATGTGTAGGGAATATAATGTAAAGCCTTACTGTTGATAATGTTGTATATTGATGTTCAGAGGCGGAAATAGACAGGAGAAATTCAACAACGAGTAACTCGCAAGACGAAAGGAGGCAGTGATAAGCTTTAACAGATACAGTTTGGAAATTGAGTGATGATAAGAAACAGGGTATTAGCGCCCATTATGCCTAAAATGATTTTGGCAATTAGTACAGTTGTAGTGATTTATTATTTAAAATACCAATTTGTTAACATTTTGCAATTCAGAAATTATGTCACATTTGACGCTATTTACTGCAAACAAATCTAGATAGTTCTAAATCCATAATTACAACTTTACAAAGAACTTGTACATGTTTGCCTTTTCATCAGAAAGAAAAAAAAATATTTCTGAAAGGTAAGTAGTGATTTCCGTCAATCTTCGGATAAGGAATTATAATATTCGAGGATGTACCGATTGGTGTCACTGATGTCGACAATAAAGGTATATCTTTGAACATTTGCATAAAATTATCTACACACATCATTATTTTAGTGTTATATTCACGTTAACATGGTTAAGGTCAAGTGACTCTCGTTTTGGTAGGTGTAAATGACCTGATAATTACTATTTTAGCATGTAAAGTACATATACATGTACCTTATAAATCTGATAGACATTTTGTTCAGCGCAGCATTCCTTATGGACATTGAGTAATACTATTAACGGATTGTTTTGTCATCTTCTTGCTCATATATTTACTGTCTGTTAATATGTATTTTATAACCAAACGGATTTTACCTTTCTAGATATCAAAATATAATGCAAAACTTAAGAAGCCACCAGCTAGTATTAGAGGGACTTCACTGCGGTATTTTTGACGGGACTGAAAATATTTTTTCTGTATTCATGTTTTATTTGATTTATGTCTAGACCAATAACGTGTGTGCAAAATTTCAGATCAATTCCTCGCTCTACTTTATATGCAGAATAATTATTCTACTTTTGAAAAATGACCCAAATTTGAATAGCGTTGCAACGCTTTTCACTCAAACCGGGCTAACAACAGCACAAAAATACGATTGAGTACACAATTACTTTTAAATTATCCTTTGTACATCTATCTGGTTTAAGTGCTCAAACTAAACTATGTAAGTTTAATTTAAGCCATATTTATAAGCTGGTTTGAATCGGAACTCCTCGGTGATTATCATTAATCATTGTTCGAAGATTGTCGGAAGGCACCGAAAACTCCAAATTCCAATTAAACCCACGCAATTATGAAATGCCGATGTGAATCGAGTAAGATTGTTCAAGAGACATTTAGACAAAAAGATAAGATAAAGCTTGGTATATTTCTTTATTTTGTTTGTTTGTAGGTAAATTTAATATGACAATGATAAAGTGGATAATATATCAGAGATATTGATTTTTTCGTTATCTCTGTCAAACAGACTGAATCAAACCGCGTGTTTTATTTTGTTTGAAGAACGTCTGCAGGGAAGAACTCATAGGCCATTCTAAAATCAACAGTAAAGGGTAGTTCTGCCCATTCAAAAATATAATTTTGAATAGAGCTCTAAAGTAAAAATGTAAAAGATAATTCTTGTCATTATAAAATTAAAATGTAAAGGATAGTTCAGAAATAAAATGTACAGGAAAGTAATTTAACTTTCTAGTTCAATTGCTATGATTTGTTTAACAATACTTATTCCACAAATTTCACACTACGTTTAGATCTCATTACATTTTTATAGTGAACATTTTATTTTACATAGGATCTTACTGAGTTTATTTTACACAAAAACTTACTGCGTTATTAATGTTGTCCAAAATAACGAGACCAAAGTATATGAGCATTTAATTGATATAATATTTACAATTTTCATATATTTTTGCATATTTATCAAACATTTATAAATATATTTGCCTAACGACTGCGTTAGAAATTGAGTTCCAGTTACAGTGTTCCATTTTTCAAACTCAATAATTGTTAAATCTTACCATAATTGGTTAATGTGTCAATCGTAACAAAAATATTTTCAATAAGAAAGATTACTAACGATTTTTTCCAGGATTTTCAGGGTTTTGAGGTAATTTCATTCTGTTGCAAGTCCGTGGACAAAACGGTCTCATTTACAAACTTCCTTCTTAAATTTCCTTTTTATTAACCAAGTTATTCTTGTAAATCTAAAATGATATTCAGTGTATAAAAAATAACTATTTACATTGAGTGTAAAAATGAACTGTAACGAAATTATTGACTACAAAATAAATGTGGAGTTTAGATTTGGCTTCAGACCCCATAACTTTCACACAATTTATGTGGTGAGTGGGGTTATGAGAGATTCAGTGTCAAAAAGTCAAACCGAAGGCCAGTTCATCTTGAGCAATTATTAGTTATTACTAGCATAGAAGTATTCTTCCAACCCTTCCGTCCTCTCATTTGAATTTATCACTTTCTATTCCTGGTTTTATACAAAACGTTAAATCAGTCAACATATTTTAGATGATTATGCATGCCATAAAATCGTTGACAGATTCATTGGCACGTTACCAAATATAAACATGTTTATGTCAAACTGGAATTAATGAAATGTTTAATATGTAGACAGTTAGGTAAAGATGGTAAAACCAACGCCTTATTTTCTTAAGTAGATATTTACATCAAAACCGACCAACGAATACTCGTCTGTCTAATACCTCTCCTCTTCCAATTTGAGCATCTTCACCTCCAGATGATCTCCATACCACCTGTTTCCCTCTACCTTTCAAAGGTATATCACCCCGCTCTGATAGCCGACCTTCTCCAGCATCTCCCCATTCCCCAACGTTACCACCCTTTCTTTTAGTTTTTCGTTTCTTTGGCCTTCTTACACTAGCTGCCCCAACTTTTCTATTGTTTCTCTTGTCGGTTCCAGTCTTGTGAGTCTGTCGCATGACTTTAACCAACTCAGTAGCTAATTTCTGTTTAGGCACCGTTGTTTTAATCGCCTGAGCTGGTTTTCCTGCAGTATCAATACTCTTAATTTCATTAACCTGACCTTTTAAAACTACACCTTGTCGCCCAGTTATTCTAGTGTTGCTTTTTGTATCTTGTATCATAGGTTGTGTATTTATCAGTCCAGAATTAGCACTGGAATCAGCAATTGTCTGAACGTGTGTATTTTTTACCACTTGTTTACTTTTAGCTGAAACTTTGCCTGTATTTTTCTGTGTACTCTTACTTTTCTTTCCTGTTTTCGTTTTATTGCCCCCACCTCCATCCCGTCCTCTAGGGTTATCCGGAGGATCAGGTCTATTACTTTGAGCTAAAGACCCATATGGACCTGCCTCTTCAGGGCCATCGATTACACCAAGTGCAGTCAGAGTATTCACATCTTGTCTAGCCCTTTTACGTTCATATGCATTCATAGGAAACCCATTGTTTGGCAAACCTAAATTCCCAAGTCCAAACACGTTTCCGCTGGCTGCCTGGAGTGATTGTAGGTCATTGAAATCTGAAGAAGAAAAATGATCAATACACTTAACAAAAGTTCTAACCGATCACTTTTTAAATTTTGATTATTTTATAACGGGTCAATAGATCCTTATAAAATTTAGCAGAGGTAATTTTTGTGTCATTTTCTACCGATTTGTGGAAAGAAAAATAATTAAATACGGTTGCATGCACTCACGCGGGAGACAGGGCGCGATTTACACATTTTGGCACGAAATGTTCGTGCAGAGCGTGGTGAGTATTAAATTTTACATTGCATAAATCCTTGTTAACTTTATAAGTGAAAAAACATAAAACATGGCACGAATGTCGATGCAGGATCGTGCCGTAGCAGTTGAATTGTTGAATGCTGGAGCCTCTATCAGACAGGTGAGTTACTGTTCATAAAAATATTTTATTAAAAATATCGATAAAGCATTATTGAAATAGAAAATGTTATTATTTTATTGTTCTCAATATGTTCATTCTCTTCGAAATAAAATAAAAGTCGGATCTATCGGTATTATTCTTTTTCATATATAAGCGAAAACTCAGGGTGATCGGTTAAAACTTTTGTTCAGTGTACGTCCTACATCAGAAAGTTTTTTTTCGTATTTTTAATTTTGCACCATAACTTAATTTTTTTCTAAACGTTTGGCTATCAAACCGGTATGGTTCCAAAGGAAACATATTGCAAAAACCAACCCACACCCTCAAAAAAAAAAAAAAAAAAAAAAACAACAAAGAAACAAAAAATAAAACATACAGTAAGTTCAACCGATGATTTGAATAATTCTTCTCTTCAAATCATTTTTAATGTTGCTAAGTTACCCAAGCACTTTAAATTAGCTGCATATTACAACTTACGTAAGAAATCAACCAAATAACTGGACATGGTTTACATTGATTCATTGACATTAGTTCCATATCCAAAGCAAAACAAACTGGTGAAAAAGCAAAAGACATTCAAATACCATTATGTTAATTGAGTTAATTGATTAGAAAAATCTTTATATATATACCTATCATTCAATACTAGTACACCAACAAGTTAAAAAAAAACCTCGCCATTTCCACCTTACCTAAGCCAAGAAGAACTGCATTTGCAAATATATTTTCATTTGTTTGAAGTCTTCCATTGTAAAGTGGATGCGGTCGTCCATATCGAGGCCAAGCTATACAAGAAACCAACAGGTTTAACAATACACAAGCGCAAAGCTCTACTTCCATCACAGTTCTTTGTCAGGTACTCCAATTTGATACCTACAAGACGGTTTAATTCAGGCTCATCCGCTGTTTTATACAGTTCCACACTAACAAAAAAAATACAACTTAATGTTGAAACAATTTTAAAATAATTTCAAGTTTTGATTTTATGTGACACAATCGTGATACATTTTCTTTACTAAACACTTTTATGTTACAAATAAATTACAAAGTACATCCGTATTTGTTAATATAAATGATTTATGCTATTCAAAACATTTAGTCCGTACATTTTAACTGTTTTATTTGCATTGAAATAATGAATACCGAATGCCTATCGGTGCAAATAAGTTTTGTTTATCGTTATTCAAGATTATTTATGAAGTAGAAAAAAATAAACAACCGGAAATCACGTATTTATAATTGTGTGAACGTAAGTGCTAAAATAAAAGACGAGTGTAGATTGCGTATAAGACAGACTGATGGATATAAAATGTCGTCGTTGTGACAAAAATAGGACACGTCTTATAATTTTAACAAAATATATGATAAAACAAGACACGTCGAGTGATTATAATTTAATGCGTGCAAATTTGAAGTTACATTGTATTGCGAGGAGATATATATAAAAGTAGTAAAGAAATGAACTATGTCATTGTGTTGTTGTTGTTACTAAAAGAAAGAAATACGTTCATTGTTTATATAATAATAATACGTTGTTGTTGGAAAAAAAAGATATGTTGCCTTTACTTAATTTTTATGTTTAAAAGAAATACGTTGTCGTTACTAAACGAAATACGTTGTTGTTATTAAAAGAATGCTGTGTCGCTTAGACGAAAATATACGTTATCGTTACGAAGAGAAATACATTGTCGACAAATAAGAAATACGACGTTGTTTTTAAAAAAGAGGAATGCATTACTGTTGCTAAAGAAGTACGCTGTCGTTACTAAAAAATACGGTGCTGTAATAAAAGAAAAACTTAGATCCTTTACGGCAATCGATGTTGTTACTTCAATTGATACGTTGTTCTAATGTTTTTACTTAATAAATACGTTATCGTTTCTAAAAGAAGAACGTTGTTGTAACTTCAAGAAACACGCTGTTGTTACTTTAATGAACACATTGAAAAACTTACTGAAAGACATACCTTGTTGATATCAAAATTAACAAGAGTTTTACGAAAGCCATGTACGTTCTCCTAAATCATGTTGCTTAATTGTAATGGAACATGTGTATGTAAATGAATATATACTGAATATAAAAATACAATTTGTTTTGTAATATAAAGTACTCAAACTTTTGAACGCTTAGAAATTCTAAACTAAATATGATGCTTTTTTTTGATGGATTATGTTTTTTTTTTATTTAAATAAATCTTGAAATTTCTTATTTCTAAACGCTGTGGCGGTTGATTTGTGCCATGTTGTATTTTCGCTCCACGGGGTGCCAGGCATTCTCGTATAGTGACTGTCGTATTATCGTGTTTTTCGTATTTTCGCTCTGCGAAATGCTTCTGTCTATGCACACTCCTTAAATTGACCCTGATAAATAGAAAAAGCATTCACGTATTGCAGAATATCCAACTAAATGACACACGCTGGTGCATCGGCAAGGAGTAGAGTAAACCAATGGAGACAGAAGAAAACACATAGACAGGAAAGGAAGACAATAACAAACATCATTCAGACGTTCTGTGAAAAAGACACCTTTTGAAAAAGAAAAAAGAAGAAAAAGAAGTCGTTTAAATAAGTTCTGCAATTCTTACCAAGAAATACATATGTGGAATTAATATAGGTAATTTTCATAAATTAATGTAAGTTTTTTTTTAATTAATTAATAAATTTATTATTAAATAACCAATCAATCAATCATCAATCAATCAGTCAATCAATTAATCAATTAAATTAATTAATTAATTCAAACAATACAGATGAATAAGACCTATGATACACTTAAAACACAATATAATTGTATCTACGGATGTGATATGATCTACATCATTTCCCCCTTCATCGAATACAACTTTTATCTATCAAAATTGAAGTAACACGAACACTTAAAGTGTTCATACAGGAAAGATATAACCAATTAAAACTTGATAATGCAAAACATCCAGTGTAATAAACTTTATCATTTCCGATTTGACCACTTATCTATACATACAAAAATTATTTGTAAGCCATAAGATCCTGACACTAGTTTCGTGACAGTGGTTGAATTTGTAGGCATTTTCCAGAAACATAATATTAAACATGCCGATGAAGTTTCTGGTAGTCGTATTGCTGGTCTCAATGGTCCATGGTCAGTCTGTACTTGAAAATGACAATACTAGCCAGGAACCAAGATGTAACTCCGAATGCGATAAAAATTACAAGGTAAACAATTCTTCTTTTTTTTTGAATTTGATAAATGAAAAAACAGGATCAGGATAGAAAGTCACCTCTAAATTGGCACTTAAAGTTTGATGTAATATGTAAATGTAATCTGTAAATTGTTAATATCGAAATGTTGTTACATTTTTACAGGAAATTGTTGATTATCTCTTAACGCGACATTATGCCCATCCGAGTGTAAATGGTGAATGCACTGGTAAAAGTCAAAATAACCAAACATATTTTGCCATAATTGTGTGTAATTTCATATTTTAGTATGCAAAAAATAATCAACAATCTATGTGCACTATGGACATTTCTATAAATATCAAATCGGTTATTAAAAATAGTTGGTCAGTCTTGTTTTATTTAAGACAGTTTTTATATTTTATCCATCACATTTTTAAAGATAAATTATTGGTCAATCACCATATTGATAGTCAATCTCTTGAAATGAGCCGTGTCATGACAAAACCAACATAATGGGTTTGCGACCAGCATGGATCCAGACCAGCATGCGCATCCGCGCAGTCTGATCAGGATCCATGCTGTTCGCTTACAAACTCTATTACAAGTAGAGAAACTGATAGCGAACAGCATGGATCCTGATCAGACTGCGCGGATGCGCAGGCTGGTCTGGATCCATGCTGGTCGCAAACGCATTATGTTGGTTTTGTCGTGACACGGCTCAAATATATTACTAATTCAATTCATCTTGACAACGAGAAAACAATAGCAAATTTTCACTATATATTACGAAACGTATGTGTGTTTTTTAAATTTATTTCACATCTATCCAGATCTTGAAAATGTTTATTTTTTTATACAATTGATTTTGAAATCTGGAACTAGAAGTGCTACAACCAAAACGGACATTTTTCACTTTATTAGGTCTAGTTTTGGGTTTGATGACTGTTTATTTCAAACATTCTTAAGATCAATTCATCTTAGCTCTTGATTTGTTACAGTTGATCGAGAAACTGGTGACTCTAGAGGAAAGTCAAAAATCACTACATACGGCACTGAAAGGTCAGCAAAGTCTGATTGACAAGCTGGAGGAGAAACTGAGAGGTAACAACATTTGTTGTGTACATGTGAAATCATTATATCTGATTCACCGGATACCATGTAATTTCTAGAATGAGTCAGTATTTGCATTAAAATCTAGATTTTCTGGGTTTTTTTGCTGGAACATTTTTAGTGTTGAACACTGTAGATGGTACTTATAACAATAAAGGTTAATGTTGATCTAAATTCGTGAGCATTTCTTTACGTGAGTCTGTGGTCGAGTGGTTAAGTTCGTTGACTTCAAACATCTTGCCTCTAACCCCTCCAGCGTCTTCGAATTTTTCACATTAGAGAGTTATTCAGCTAGCTAACGAAACGTCGGTGGTTCTATTCAGGTGCCAGTTTGTGTCTGAAATAATGTACAGAAGGGCACCTGAGGTCTTACTCCACCACTCAAGCTTGGAAAGTCGCCATATGACCTATACTGTGTTGGTGCAACAAGTAAATGCAACCATTTAAAATCTTTACGTAAAGTCTTCATGTGTAAGTATTTTGGTCATAACAGTATTTGATTAAACTTATCTTAGTATTTATAATTAGAAATATTGGTATTATATTTTATTGTACTCTGTGGGGGAACTATTCAACAATTTGTAGGAATATTAAACTAAAAGTTATTTTGGACAGTTCTTTTTTGTAGGTTTACACTAAGTATAAGTTCCTCGTTGCTGTTGATAATAATTTCTTGGTTGACCCTTATCACTATCTTGTACAGTTTTTCTGTTTGAAATTTTTTCTTGTCTCTCTTACCTCCTAATTTTTTTTGTTATCCTTCTGATTAATGTTTTATTTTGTCGCCTTTTATACTTTAAAATATACGCGTGTTTCCATTTAAGTCGATTTCTATTTTGTAATGTGTATGTACTGCATGTTGATTTCCTTCCTTTGGACTTGTGCATTTGATGAGAATAAAAATATTATGATCTTGGAAACGTTATTTTGTTCTCCTTATTAAAGTTTCTCTGTTGCCGTTTTGGGGGGACTGGAGTCCATGGAGCGACTGCTTTCTAAACTGTTCGTGGAAGCATGGAGGACGTGTACAAACCAGATCAAGACAATCCATTTCTCACTCATCCATGACTTCAGCTGAGAGAGAGGTTGAAGAGCGACCGTGCAATGCCGTCCAGTTTGCAGGTTTGTTCCCATCTTGTGACTCGCATCTTAGATAAATGATGACCGAACACCGTTCCGTACATTCTTTAAAACTGTAGACATAAATTCTATTTAATTAGCTCAGAAAACACCAAAAGCAATCGTCTATAATCAGATAGTTGATTGTTAATTAGTGCACGTTCTATGGGCGTGGACGGTAGCTTGCAATTACCACTACCATCCTTGAGTAGGCTCGATCAACCCGAGTCGCCAGCATTTTATTTTAGTTTTTCCGTTTTGGACGTTCTTTAGGAAATCCGTTTATCTGTATTTTAGTGGTTATGGCGTCTGCCTCTTGACTCAGGGATTGTGGAATCGAACCATACACATGTCACGATCATGTATTCTAAAATGGCACTATAACTAGCTAATTTCAGGAAGCGGACTTGATCGTGATTAACATTATATCTTGCTTAACAATCCAGATAAAAACATGTTAAAAAATTCAGTCATATCGCGTTTGTAATTGTCTTTACAGACATAAATATTAATCAAACCATCATTCTTCAGGATGTATCAAAACTGCTGGACCAGATGATAATTTCGGGGTGACCTATGATTTCGCAGATCAAATTGCAGTAGCCACGTGTACAGCTCTCCTCCCTGGTGGAAGCAACCACGTTTACGCAGTTAGAAGAACGTGCTCGAGTCTAGCAGTATCGTGTGCAGACACATGTAAACGTGTCAAGTAAGTATTAATTTATTTAAACCTATTTTTTTCAAGATTAGCAAATAATAAGTCTAATTCTGACACAATGCATTTAAATCGTTGTTGTGTTATATATTTACATTTCTACAAGATAGTTTTTTAAAGATTATTGCCACAAAACGAAACAACGAGTTATCAACTGTTCTTATAGTGCCACACAAAAAGTGGAAATTAAGCACCTAAAATATCAACTTTTTATACGTCACTTAAATGCATAAGATTGCGATAGCCATTGGTAAGAATGACCGAGGAAGAATTATATAGAAACATATTAAACCAAAGATCAAAAAGAAAGGGTGACACTCAAAAGAACACATGCATTGGTGTTTGTTTTTTCCGTGTTTTTTTTTATATCCAATAATTGAAATGCTGAAACTGCACGCACAAGATATATGTTTGTTTATCATAACAGTCAAGTTGTTTCATAACCCGCTGGTTTATATTTACCTGCGTGTTTATCTTTACCGGCCTGCTTTTTTATCATTACCATCTTTGTCATTAATGGCTGTTTATCAGTACCGGCTCGTTTATCATTATAATCCGGTTTATCATTCTTAATACGGGCTGATTTATCACAAAAATACTTGTTTATCGTTAGCAGTAAAATTGTATTTATTTTGAATTTCAGAACGACATGCTTCAACGCGCTTCATGTATACAGGGGATCTCCCATTTTAAAAAGGAACCAAGATGGCGAAAGGGGACTGTATCTGTACCGATACAACAGCTGTGGTGGAACTTTCTGTGGTCCTAACTTCTGTTGCTGTCATGGATAGATTCCACCGCGATCATAACGATTACAGAATTCTGAATTGACGAAATCTCCCTAGTGACAATATACTATATATGAATATATGACAAAACCAACATAGTTCGTTTGCGACCAGCATTGATCAAGACCAGCCTGCGCGTCCGCGCAGTCTGATCAGGATCCATGCTGTTCGCTATCAGTTTCTCTATTTGTAATAGAGTTTGTAAGCGAACAGCATGGATCCAGATCAGACTGCGCGGACGCGTAGGCTTGTCTGGATCCATGCTGGTCTCAAACGCACTTTGTTAGTTTTCTCGTGACGCGGCTCATATACACTCGTACTTTAAGCTGCATGCCTCCAGATGAGCAAAAATATTTCAATAAAATCAAGTATGAGAAAATTGTACAATGTAATAAGATTTTAGGAACAGTAAAAGATTCAAGCTTGAAGTAATAATTAACATTGATTTTTCAGTAATTATATTTATATTTCTACTGCGTTACAGTGAGGGCTATTTTGCATATTTAGTCCTTTTTTGTAATTAACATGGAATGTAAGTGCCGTTGATTATGTGTCAATTGCTTCCTTTTGGTTACTTCACTATTTTATACCCTTGCCATTTTTGGCTTACTTTTTCACAATGTATTTTGTTCTTGTTCCTTTCTGGAAAACTAAAGCAGATAAACAGATGAATTGTAGCCATACTCATGTATTTTATATACAATATTAAAATCTCGAAAAAAATCTTTAATTGTTTGACCATTTTTTAACCCCTTGCTTATCCAGAAAAACGTTGATGGTACATGAAGTCGGGTTATAAGCTCTAAATAAATAACAAAGTTCTTTCATCAGCCCATCCAGCATTTTATTGAATATGTAAAAGGCCTTGCAATGTTAATAATAAAACGTAAAATGTAGACATATCAAGATAAAAAAAAATTCCTTTTGAACATGCAACTCATTATATCAAATTTTGATGACCTTAATAGTAATTTTTTGATAGTCGATTGGTTTATTCAGAAGGAAAAAAATAGAAAAAAATACATATAATTTATAATAAAGGTTAATTTGTATAATTTCATTCGTAATTAGAGTAAGTTGTTTCAAATGTTAAATCAGTCATTACACGCTAGTCATAGTGTGAATGCTGGTTCACGGAAATGTTAATTTGATGAAATTTCTTGGGTGACATTTCCTGTTGGAACAATTTTCGAAAATACGGGGTATATAAATTGATGGAAAAAAAATGTACAAACGCTAGTTCTCAAATCCACTCGGATTATATATATGTAAACATTGAAGACGTTATTTTTTACGCCTTGATTGTTCCGGTTAAATTTTATAATATATCATCGAGCATGAATGAAAACTCTCCGTACACTTGTTGAAGTAACAAAAGCTAATATGTTATACAAGTTTTGGATGAATTATTCACAGTTCTAAGGAAAAACTGCATATTACAAATCAGAGTAATCAGTTAAACATTATTTCGTAGTTTCTGGAAAGAATAAATATATGAACAACTTATTAAGTTTCCTTCGATCAAGAACATCACCTAAACAGACGCGAGATGAGCTTGCTGACCTACAAGTAGTCTACGTGATACAAAAACGAAAGTTCGTGTTGTGACTTACACATTAAACTCTCATGATTGGCATTATTGTGGCAAAAAATGTGACAAACAAACATTGAAATACTATTTCTAAAATCATCAGAAGAGAGGTTTATTGTGTCAATAATCCATGCTAATGTTTACAGTCACTAAATTACAAGTAACCTTCTTTTAGAATCGAAATATAAAGGTGGTTAGAAGAGCATTTTTTAAACATCAAATACGGTGTTCGAAACAACTGAGGCACTTTATTGTTATAAGGTGTTTAAATCTATAACAAACTTGAAGGATATAACAAATAACCCAGATGTCTTGACGTTTCTTGTAAACGAGAAGTATTTTGCGTGTTCCATAGGCCATCCCGCGAGCATTTATAAAAAAAAAGCATACAGACAGCTTCCCGTCCCAATCAAGCATCTCATTCAAACTGAAGATTAAGAAAGAAAACAACTGCAAGTGCTATCATAAGATTCTAACTTGTGAAATACAGCTTTGAAGACATGAAAATTTTACAAAGCAATTTCATTTAAGCCGAAAATATGTTTATTCTGAAACTATAAATAAAACGTCGGGATAAAGTTTCTTAGCAATAAAATTATATTTCTCAATGTGTTGTTAAAACTTACAAAAGGAGAAAAAATGAATTTCACGTTTGATTTTGATTTTGAGGATATTTTCACAAACGATAACGAAGGAAACACTTCCGTTTGGGACACCTTTTATGACAATATACAAGATGCGCTATATGATAGTATACAAGATGCGCTATATGAAACCGTTATGAATAGTACTGAAATGAAATTTGAACAAAACTTTAATTCTTGGTGGAACATAGCGGTAATCATTATTATCGTAGAAATTGTAATTGGATTCTTCGGAAATGTTTTGTCTCTGATTGTATGGAATCGAGGGAAAGAGTGCTGTAAGATGGCGTGCTCTACATACTTCAAAATACTTGCGTCAAGCGAATTACTTACACTCATAAGTTTCCTGATCGGAATAGTCATTCCACATTTCTTTGATATCTCTGACACGAGTTATTGTAGCATAATGGGACGTATTTCTGATGGTCTGATACCTTTTGCTCCACAACTATCGGCATGGGTTATTGTGAGCATTGCACTAGAGCGCATGCTAAGCATATGCTTTCCATTTAGGTTTCGTAAGGAAGGTTTCAGACGGAGGGCATGGTTAGCTTGCATTGTAATAATTGTTGTGCTTTTAGGGCTAAATTATAATACATATATCTGCAGCAGTTTTGTTACAGATAACGTGCTTGGCGTCAGTTTGTGTATATGTATTGATGAAAGCAGTACAGGTATTGAAAAAGTGTCCATTGTTTGGTTTCTGTGCATTCTACCCCTGGTGTTTATGACAGCATGTAACATTGTCATATCGACAAAATTGTTTATGATTAGAAATGCAAGACTACGTCTTAATAGCTCTAACCGACAAAGCCGTCAAGGAACGTTCAATAAACTATGCATTAGCGCATCACTTCTCCATTGTGTATCGGTGTTACCGCTTACGTTTTTGGTTTTTTATTTCGAACCGTTTACAACGGATAAGGTCGACAATCTTTATGACATATATAATGTTTTAAATGATATAGCGGCTTTGTTTCCTATGTCTATTTCACTTTTCATATTAAACAACAGTTTGAACTTTCTGATTTACTGCTTCAGTGGAACACACTTTCGCTCGGACCTAAAAGAAATGGTCTTTACATGTAAATGTGGGTCCAAGTCAGGTTCTTCTGAACGTCAGCCAAGATTATCGTCAAGTTAACATTTTGAAAGCCCTATGTTCAGTTAATGAAATGTTAAGTGGACGTCTTTACAAGCTGATATGTAACGTGTCTGCGACTTATACAAATCCAACTTTCTTGTAGAAAATAGACATCGACAATTCAAATGCTACTAAATTGAAGTCGTTAAATCAATGTTCAAAAATAAAAAGCTCGTTTATTATTTTATGAATCAAAATTGTTTTTGAACGTTTGTAAAAACGTGTATGACATCAGTTCAATTTCACTTGCTATATATATATATGAGTTAACTTATTTAATTATTTGCTTATTTTATTTATTTATATATATTTAAATAAGTTAACTCATGGACTGTGTTTTTTATTTATTTATATGTGACTTTTTTCCGGCACTTGTTTTCATTTTTTGTATATATATATATTCACATGATACTTATACGAGTAAAAAATTAAAAATAAACAATTGTTCTTTTTTATACTATAATGATTTAAAGAAAAGTGTTTAAATGCTAATATCTTAAAGGGGCGTTTGTCAAAACAATCAACTTATATTTATTTAAGGATCAAATCTTCATTGACAAATAGATTATTTAATGATATTGTTTTGTGCGCGCGCGCGTGCGTGTGTGCGTGCGCGTGTGTGTACATTTATATACTGTTAAGAAGGCCACATTTAAAATAAATATATGTTATTTGTGTTTCACGATGGTATATCTTCATGTGTTACCTTCTTTAAAAACGCTATAATTATTATACATTGTAGTTATATTACTGTTATTTTATCTTGTCCCCTCCGAATGTTCCATTCTTCATTGAGTCAGATATATATTATTTTGCTGCAGATGATGCGTCGCTTTCATGTAGTAGCACAAGTTCTAAACAGTTAAATCATATTAAAGCAGTAATAACTGCGAGACAATTTGAATGTCAAGACAATTTCAATTTTATTTTTACAAAAGCTCTAATAATACAAGCCAGAACATCAAGTTTTATCAATTAGGTATCAGACAAATTCTAGGGGAATTTATGGTGAACTAGCGGTTAATTTGCTATGATCAGATTAGTTCGAAGGAACTCTAAGGGATCTCTTTATCATCCGTCTAGCCTAATGATCTGTTGTTTTTAACAGAGTGTGGGAATCATGTTTATTTTATATTTAATTTTGTGAGAGAGAAATATTAATATAAAGCGTATGAAAGATAAAAGGGTGCATTTGCCAGAAAGTTACGAGACGGAGAGTTGAAATCGATAATGTGTGTATAGAAAAGTGTTCAATTTTTGACGTTATTAAGAAGTTACATCGGTGACAATTAAATTGTAGAAAGTTCAAAGTCACATCGTTGACATATCATAATTATAAAGTGGTCACACTTATGACAAATATAGTGTAAAGCTACGGTATGTTAGAGTTATATTTTTCAACTGTTTAAGACTCATTTTAAAATTGTTCTTTACATAATATTAAGCATATGATAACTTTAAGTCTGTTGCACAGTGTGGGAATGATTATTTATTGAGTTCACTTTTTCCCATTAGTAATATGCAGATTGCCATTAATTATTTACATACATATAAGATAATCATGTTAAGATTATTATTGGTTAATTGTCACAAATGCATTTTATATTATTTTTTCAATGAGTGTTTTTAAACGTAATGTTTATCTATATACATACGTAAAACACTTAGGGATATTTTAATGCGTTTGTAGATCTCGACGTTCACGTTCAGGTTCAGATGCAGATTTAGATTCGTGTTCAAGTATATGATTAAGAAAATTTATGGAGCGAAGTACATGTATTTCATTTTATATTCCTTTGGGAAGTTTACATCCGAAGATTTTCCTTGGCGGAAGTTGTCGATTTTTAGTTTATAAATTGGAACATGGTTCATATTTTAGAGAGATGATTTTTATATAGAGGAAAGCATATAAAATTAAAAAACAGGAAAGGACGATAAAAGGAACAGTGAAGACTAAGACTAACATTACCACGAAAACATATACAATAACCTTATATAGTTCTAATTAACGGATTACATAAACATTGGTTTTTTTCTTTCTTATAATCATCATTATTATTTCTTTTGTGAAATATCTATTATTATATCAAATATTCTATTCATATCTTACATATAATCTCTAAGTATTTAGTATTATTTAGTTTGTTGTAAATAAAATCTTGTAAACCACGCAACAGTATTAGTGATTTTACACAACCCTTAAAAAGTCTATTTTGCTCATCAAGCAAACATCGTGACATTGAATAATTGTAAATTGAAACGTTTTTATTTTCGCCGACCAGTCAGGTTCGCATCTAACTGTTTTATAAGAATCTGGAAAAAAACTGATCCCTCGGAAGCATTAAT